TTTTTTGGTTTTTCTCTGGTACCGGGAACCGAACCTGGGCTTTTCTTTGTGGGTAGTTTTAAAATTACTTCTTTAATTTCATTGACTGATACTGGGTTATTCAGAATTTTTATCTTTTCTTGATTCTGCTTTGGTAATTCATATTTATCAAGGAGTCTGTCCATTTCTTCTGCATTTTCTATCTTACTAGAGTTCAAGTTCTCAAGTTAGGCATTGATCGTTTTCTAGATTTCTGCAGAATGCATTGTGATTTCACTCTTTTCATTCCTAATTGCATGGATTTGAGTCTTCTGTTTCCTTGTTTTGATATGGTTGACTAAGGGTTTATCCATGTTATTTAATCTCATAATGAACCTACTCTTTGATTCATTGATTCTTTGTATTGTTTCCTTAGTCTCAATTGTATTAATTTCTGCTCTGATCTTTATAATTTCTTCCTTCATACTTGCTTTGGGTTTCATTTGCTCTTCTTTTTGTAGAAGCTTGAAGTTCAACATTAGGTTATTTATTTAAACTTGCTTTGTTTTTCTCATGTGAGAATTTACCACTGTAAGTTTCCCTTGTAGGACAGCTTTCATTGCATTTTGTAAGTTCTGGTATGTTGTATTAGCATTATCATTTAATTATAGAAATTATCTAATGTCTTCTTTAATTCCATCTGTGACCCATTGGTTGTTTAAGAGGGTGTTATTTAATTTTGATGTGTTTATATAGTTTTTATAATTTCTTTTACCATTGATTTCTAATTTTATTGTACTATGATCTGATAGTATGCATGTGATAATTTCAACTCCTTTTTATTTCCTTAAGCATGTGGCCTGTTTTGGAAAAAGTCCCATGTACAGCTGAGAAGAAAATGTATTCTATTGTTGTGGGGTAGAACACTGTAGATATATACCAAGTCCATTTGTTCAAAGGTTTGGTTCAGTTCTGATCCTCCTTTGATGATTTTCTAGATGATCTGTTTGTGACAGTAGGGTATTGTAGTCTCCATTACAAGTGTATGGTGTTTGTCTAATTTTTCATATCTATTAGTGTTGGTTTTATGAAGTTAGGTGTACTGGTATTTGGTGCATATGTATTTATAGTTGTTATATCTTCTTGGATTCTTTTTTTAACAAGCATTTAGTGACTGTCTCTCCTAATCAGTCTTGGCTTGAAATCCACTTTGTCTGCAAAGAGAGTAGCTACCCCTGCTTTTTTCAGGTTCCTGCCACATGCACTATTATTTTCCATTCTTTAAGTCTGTGAATTTCTTTTTGAGTTAAATGTGTTTCTTGTGTGCAGCATATTGTTGCATCTTATTTCTTGATCCATTCTGCCAATCTGTTTCTTTTGATAGGTCAATCAAGACCATTAACATTGATGCTTATAACTGATAGGTATTGACTTGTCTTTGTCATATTATTTTCCTGTTGTTGGTTCCCTTCCCCTTCCCCTATTTAATTCCTTCCTTTGCCAGGTAAATTCCTTGTGTTGGGATTCTTGGAATTTTTATGTTTGTTGTCTTTTTCTAGAATATCATTCAAAAGTTTTTGGAGTCCTGGAAATCCATCAATTTTGCAAAATAATTTTGTGGGGTAAAGTCTGGGTTGGAGATTGTTTTCTTTTAGGGCTTGAAATTCTTCGCATTCTCTTTGACTTAAGGTTTTGAGTTAAGAAGTCTCTGTGATTCTGATGGGTTTTCCTTTATAGGTGTTTTTTTTTTTTCCCTCTAACAGCTTTTATTATTCTGTTCTTGTGTTACATTTCTGGAATTTTGGGTACTGTATGTCTTGGTATAGTTTTTTCCTAATCCTGACTATTTGGAGTTCTATATGCCTCACTTATATGTATTTCAAACTCTTTATCCATGCTTGGAAATTTTCCTATTAGTTTTCTGAACAGTTTTTTTATGCCCTTTGTGCTGGTATTCCAATTAATCTTCACTTAGTTTTGTTTGCATCATCTAGTAGCTATTAGATGGACTTTTCATTATTATTTTGTAAGGTCTCTTTCATTAGTTAAATCATCAACCATATCCCTGTCTTCTAAGTGTGATATTCTGTTCTCACATTGGTTGATTTTGCTGTATATTGTTTCAATAAAGTTTTAATCCTCTGAATTTCTGTTTGAGATTGTTTTATGGACTTCAGTTCTTTTCTGTGTTGGCCATTTTCATGGTTTACATGTCTTTTTAAGCTCCTCTCTTTTTTATCAGTATTTTCTCTGGACTCAATAATTGTTTGTTTTATTAGTGTCATCATGTCTTTAATTATTTGTACAATTATATCTGCCTTGAATTACCTAGCATCTTATTGATCTCTTTTGTTATTTCCACCGCTACCATTTCAGATATTTTGGCTATGTGTCTTTTGATTTCTTCTCTCTTGATGTTGAAGGATAAGGTCTAAAATGCCTGTAAGTGAAGTATTCCAACTCTGAGTTTCATTGCAGTATGATTTTCTTGAACTTATTGCTCCAAATTCCTATCTTTCATTCCTCCTGCTCTGGTCAGATATTTGAGAAAATACTTGCCATTTCTTATATGGAAGGTAACCCATACTCTCCAGGCTGAGTAGCAGAAGGGCTATAAGCATTCAGAGAATATCCATTCAGCTAATAATCTTGTTCTGGAACTGTACCCCTCTTATGACTATGCCTAGTGTTCTCTAGTCAAGAGACACTTCTTTTGCTTTCTCTGTAGACTAAAACTCTGTCCTTTGGGATAACAAAAAGTGTGGAACTGTTGAGAGGAGGGTCTATATGAAAAATATATCTTAAGCAATTTTCATCTTAGCTACCACCTCCCTCCCACCCCATCACCATTTTTTCCAGAGGTTCCTGATGCTGTTAATTCCTGAGGCTTTTGAAGATTCTGCAGAGTAAGTCCTGTTGGTTCCTAGCTTTCCCTTCTGCCAGCTTAAGATTTGGCTTTCTCAAATCTAAATCACCACTTATTCATCTGCTTTTCAGCTTTCAAAATTTGTTGCTTCTGACCTCTGTATTGTGTTCCTGTTCATGTGTTCTTTGCTTAAAAATGTCTGTATTGTAGCATTAATGATGTTTTGGAGTAAGAGGTGTGTGTTCAGGCACCTGTCTTTGCCTGACATTATTTCTTACTGGTAATGAAAGTTGTGGGTAAATTGTTTAAAAATATTCCTGGAATGTAGTTTTGCTAAAGGCGAGTCTATCATTATTACTGTCACTAACTCTATGTGTGAAATGCATTAAGTTTTTCATTTTATTTTCATATTCTTATGAAAAAAAACAACACTATAATCCTCATTTAATAAGTGAGGGAAATTAAGACTTAGAAGGTGTGAGGAGCATTTATGTAGTCATACATGTAGGGAACAGTAAAATACCTAACTTCAGAGTCTTACTTTTCTTAACTACTATGATATACTGCCTCCTTTATAATCAACATCATCCAAATGTGAATTAAGATTGATGTCCATATAAGTTTAGAAGCATAACTAGAACATATGACTAAATGTAAAGCTAATCCTTCTTTACATTTACCACTCATATGGACACTGTAGGTCTGTTAGTCTATCCCATATCAGAGTTATAGGTCTAGAGTGAATTTAGAACCTCGGGGACAACAATATGGTGTAGAATTTATAGAAATGGTCAGGCCCTGCAGCTTTGAAGGCAGCTCCATGGTGTGATTTCCACCAGCCTGGCTGCATATGTTTCCTGTTTTAGAAGTTCATGCTGCAATGAGATGTCAGTGGACAATTAGATGCTGATAATCTGCTGTGGTGTCTGACTTCCCTAGTAGGAGAACTGGTGATGACTTACAGCCAGGTGAATGAGATGTGATGAATTACCCCTTTACTTTCCGTTTGGTTAAAGCTGAAGGAACTGAAGAATCTGCAGCAGCAATATTTACAGATTAATCAAGAGGTCACGGAGTTACGTCCTCTGAAGGCTGAACTTCAGGAGTATCAAGATAAGACAAAAACGTTTCAGATTGTGCAAGAAGAACTCAGGCAAGAAAACCTCTCCTGGCAACATGAGCTACATCAGCTCAGGTATTATCCTTACACTTTTACCTTTTTCATTTTCTTTTAGCTTTTTATTTTAAAAGAAATGTAGATTTGTAGGAATTGCAAAATAGTACAGATTGCTCCTATGTACCCTTCACCTCTTTGGTTCCAGTGATAACATCTCATGCAATTATAATATCAATACAAAAAAACTGACATTATTAGAATTTATAGATCTTATTCAGATTTCACCAGCTTTACTCCATGAGCGTGTATACATATGTAGTTCTGTACATTTATAGACTCATGTAAACACTACAACCAAGATAATAGAACTGCTCCATCATGACAAATATGTCCCTAATGGATAGATCACATTCCTCTCTCCCCTCCTTCCCTCTTCCTGAGTCTCTAACCTGACTCCCACTAATTTGTTCTGCATCCCTATAATTTCATCATTTTGAGAATGTTTTATAATTGGAATCATGCAGTATAGTGGCTTTTTTCATATACTGTAATGTCCTTGAGATCCATACATTATGTGTATCAATAATTCATTCTTTTTGTTATTAAATACTTTAACTGTTCACTCATTGAAGGCTATGCATGTTATTTCTTATTTTTACTTATATAACTAAAGATGCTACGAACATCTATGTATAGGTTTTCATGTAAACAAAAGTTTTTCTTTCTCTGGGATAATTGCCCAGAAGTGCAAATGCTAGGCTATATGTTTCATTTTTTGAGAAACCACAAAACTCTTTTTCTAGAAAGGCTATGCCATTTATAGTCTTATCAGCCCTATGTAATTGATCCATACAGCCTGTCTCGGTTACTTTCCTCTTGTTACTGAAATATTTAGCTCACAGTTTGTTTCAGTTTCAGTCCATAATCAGCTGGCTCCAAGGCAGGGTGACATGGCATAGGGGCAACAGTTCAAGGCGGCAGGAGACAGCAAAAGCAGCAAGAGCAAAAGCAGAGACAGCAAGCCTCTTTTCCTCCCTTGTATTATAAGCAGGCCACCCTACCCCCCCGCTACCCCATGCGAGTATAGCACTCACACAATCTCCATGCCCTCCTCTTGCAAAGGATAAGGATATTTACAAAGTAAGGACCCTGGCTCCCTGTTGAGTCACTTAATTAAGCTTCTAAAATTCTCAGGTTGATACAATGTATCAACCATTAGACATCCTTACCAACATTTGGTATTGTAACTTGTTTATTTTAGTTGTTTTTAATTGGAATATAACAATACTGCACTGTGGCTTCACTTTATATAATGGCTAATCATTTGAACATCTTTCCCTGTGCTTTGACATATTTGTGAAATATCTGTTCATGTGTTTTGTCCATTTTCTAATTAAGTTGTTAATTTTTTACTTTTACATTTTGAGAGTTCTTAATATGTTGTAGATATGAGTTCTTTGTGTGATAAGTGGTTTGCAAATACTTTCTTCTGGTCCACAGCTTAGTGTTTTGCAACTTATCTTTTTATCTTGTTCAACAAGGTCTTTTTAACTTTAGTGAAATATAAGGCACAAATTATTTTCTTTCTACTGTTTAGATTTAGTATTTTCTATGGTCTGTTTTCAGCTCCTCTGTTTCTTCTGTCACCTCCATTCTGTGATTGAGGTGCTTGAATTGGATTTTTATTTTGGGGATCCTATTTTCAGCTCTAAAATTTCCATGAGGTTCTTTATATCTTCTGTTTCTTTTCTGAGGCATTAGTAATTGCTTGTTGAGGCATTTCTATGATAGCTGCTTAAAATCCTTGTCATATAATTCTAACATCTGTATCACTTTCTTCTTAGAACCTGTTGATTTCCTTTTCTCAACCAAGTTGTGATTTTTTTCCTTACTTCTTGGTATAATGAGTGTCCTGGGCATTTTAGAGATTATAAAGATAAATCTTGTTTAAGGCTTCTGCTCCAGAAGGCTTCCTCTGACAGTGCACCAGAAGGGATGGAGACATTGCCACTTTATCAGCAGATACCATATGAAATGCAGGCATCCCATTCAGCTTCCGGTGATACCCCTAGAAGGATAGTTGTGTTTTCCCCCTAGAGGGAAGGGGTGTCCTGATACTGCCAGGGGGATGTGGAATCTAGTCTTCTTGCGTGGGCTGTATGATGCTGCTAAGGGTGTGGAGATGGGCACCTCATTATTACAGGCAATGGTGAAAGTCCAAGCTTTCCACTCAGCCTCCATTGCCCTCTACCATGTCGGGTGTAGCCAAGGAAAGACATCTTCTACCATGGGGCAATGCCTGAAGTTTAGGCTCCCCATTTGTTTTCATATTCTCTCTCTCTCCTTCTCTCCCTCTCCCTCCCTCCCTCCCTTTGTCTCTCTCTCTCTCCACATGCTGCCTTCATTGACATTGTGTGAACTTTCTTGGTACTCATTGATGTTTCTGGGTTGTGGAATTTTCCAGCACTGTTTGGGGTATAGCATATAGATTACAAAAAGGGGAAACTTGCTTCAAGGAACTTGCTTCAGTGTTACTCCCTAAGCACTGGGTGCCTAGCTAGTCCATTGCCTGTTCTCCATTTTTATGTCTTCTTTACATTTGTTTTTCTTCATAATGCCCAGGGGTTTTATACTTAGTAGGAGAAATAAAGAGAAGTTCGTCTATTCCATCTTGTCTAGAACCAGAAATCTCAGCTCTTTTCATGTAACAACAAGAAGAAGAAGATAGTAACAGTGCTTTCATGGCAGAAAAAATTAAAATAGAAAGTGTAATTCTTTTTTGTATTCAGTCTTTCTAACATATTTAACCCAAAGAATAAAGATAAAGAACAAATACATAACAGTGTATAAAAATAGGTCTGGTTCTCACACCCTTGTTGTTGGGACTTAATTACAGCCAACTTAAGATGATGTATGCCACCTTAATAAAATCAAACTCAAAAATGTCAAGATTGAGTACTCTAAAGAAGAATTTCCATATTGGAAAGTGCTAATCAGGTTGTATGTGCTTTGTCTCTCCAAATGCTAGAGGACAAGAGGCAAATGAATATGGAGAATGCAAGGTAGATCTCAGTTCTGATCCATTGTGCAGAGGGTTGCTAGGATGACTGCCATCAGTACAGTATAATCAATACCATCATATATACAGAGTTAAAGTCTCGGCAAAGGGAATTTGTTTATTCGCAGGTATGCTCCTTGCTAACATGGCATTTCAGAGTTAATCTTAAAGATTATAAAGCAAGAGCTTTTTAGAATTTGTTGATTTAAATTTTTTGAAATGTGATAGTTAATCTTATTGGCTTGAAAGACACCTAGATGTTAGGAAAGCATACTTTACTGATGTGTAGGTCTGGGTGGGCCTTGGGGGCGTGGCCTTCATAACTCTGTGCAGTCCCTGGACCCTTCCTTTCTGGGCTCCTCCTCCCTGTTCTCTCTTCCTGGATGCCATGAGTCGAGCAGCTTTCATCCGTCGCACCCTTCCATTATGGTGTTTCTGTGTTGGAGCCAACAGACCATGAACCAAAGCCCCTGGAACCTTGAGGTGAAAAAACCCTTTCCTTCTTGCAGTTGTAGCAGGTATTTTTGTCTCAGCAACAGAGTTACATCCCAAAGACTCATATTTAACATCTTTATGAATGTGTTTGTAAGTGAAAAGATATCAAACTCACTGCATAGATTGGCAGCTTCCCCAGATAATTAATGTAAAAACATAAGTTTTTACCAGGTAGTAATGACTGCAGAGAAGGTTTAAAAAAAAAAAAAAAAAAAAACATTAAAAAAAACAACTTAAGGTTTGTTCTCTGGAAGTATAAACTTCATCTATTTCTTCCTTTGGGATGGACCTCAAAAGAAGAGATAAATTACTCCTTTTCATCATGCTTTTCTTTTTTCTTTATGTTTCAGAGAATAACTGCCCCAGCTTTATTCTTTTGAATCTCAGTTCATCACCAAGAGATCAACTGCTCAGTGTGTCTTCCTTCAGGTGTACTTTAATGCTGAGTATTGAATTTAGGGTCTTGCAAGGGTGATTGAGACCATACTACCTCCGCCTTGCCTGGAACTGTAAGACTGTGAAGTGCTTAGCTACTAGGATAAACCGAAGAGCTACAGAGCTATTAAGAAATATTTTCCGTAGCCTTTCCTCTTTAAATTTCCTCTAAGGGCAATTTAAAATGGTGTTTGTTTTGGAAAACTGACCTCTATAGAAGAGAAAAGAAGAGAGGACAGGTGCTTTCTGGACTTGAAGTGTTTTCTCCCTTTCCACCTTTTCCTTGGCCCTTAGCTCTTTCCCTGTCAAATTTGATCATCTTTGAAGAAAAGAAAAATTATATGTCAAGTGTATATGAGCACATTAGAAGAAAGAGGGGAGGACAGAAACTTTTAGAAGGAGGAAGATAGAACACAGATTTACTTCACTGGCTTTAGGATGAGGGTTTTTTTGTTTGTTTTGTTGGTTTTTTGTTTTCTTTAACTGACTAACTTCAGGACTGCTTGCTTTTGTATTTGAATATTTGGGGAAAATGAGCTGTTTGTACCTAGAGGAGCCAGAACATGTTGAAGCTTCTGCTAACCTTCCAGTTGTCTTATCAGGAGAGCCTGGATTTCCACCATGAGCTGCCTCTGTCACTGGGGCTGCCAGTTTGTTTGTTCTGCTCTGGTTCCTGTATGCTCACATTTACAAGGATAAGTGAGGTGTAGCCCTGTCTATATTTGACTGACTTGCATTCGGTGATCTGGTTGTCTTTTGGCCCATTCTCCTCTCAGAGTCTCTTTGCACACCCTAAGCACTTCTCTGTCCTTCAGAAAACAAAACAAAAAGCAGCTTATAGCTTTTTATGGAAGGTTGTGGTCTTTGTCATGCACTCACTTGCTTAGACGTATTCTGCCTGTTTCTGTCGTTCTCCACAGACAAATACTTCAGTGAAAGTGTTCTATGTTTTTGTAATTCTTGGCCTTTAGCATACTTTTGCCCTATAATAACGTTTTTAGCTTTAGTTCTACCTTTTTGAAAAAAAATTGACAATGCTCCAAGCTACCTCTTAGTGAAGCAAGATTATTTGCTAACAGTTATCTATCTCTAAGAAAAGAAGGGACATTTTACCTTGTTTCTATAGAGAGAGACAGAAAGTCAGAGATAACTCAAACCAAGCTTTGTCCTACTGGGGGAAAAGAGTCTCTATCTGTAAAGAGGTTCTGCAGAAACTTGACTATAGTCCTAATGGGTTTTTTAAGGGAAGTAGAGAAGTACGAAGAAAGAATAATGGCATAGGGGGTGGGGTTTTTTTCAAATATTAAAAAAGTAAATAGCTGGAGTCAAATTTACTCTTGGTCAAATTCAGTGAATAAATAGAAATAGCAGCCACTAATATTTAGTGAGTGTTTACTATGTTCCAACCTATTTGACGAGTGACAAAAGCATCTCATGTAGTGCTCACAATAATCCTAAGGAGTAGTTTATTCTTAATTTGTTGGAAAGGTCTAGAGAGATTAAGTAATTTTTTACTCAGGACCTCAAACCAACATCTGAGCCCTAGTCCTTCAGAATCTAAAGCTGCATTCTTTTTTTCTTTGGTACCTGGAATCGAACTCAGGACCTTGTGCTTGCCAGGCAGACACTTGTGCTCCTGAGCTATATCCCCGGCAAAGGCTGCATTCTTATAACCATTATGTTACCATGGCACTGCCCTGCTTGAAAATTATGGTCCTGGGCCCTATGTGGTTGTAACTTGTTCCTTTCTAGCCTCATTCCTTACACACCTCCTCTACACACTGTCTCCTGTGACAATTCTAAAATTTACTGTGTGCATTCCCACTCATGTCTTTCTTCCTTGCACTTGAAACCATTATGGAAGCCCACTCATAGTTCAGGTTCTAGACCAAATGCCAGTTTTCCTGTGAAATCACTCCCGTCCTACTGGTTGGAATTTCTATTTTTAGTTCTATGTCATCATCTTGTTGCATGGCTCTGTTTATAATATAAATTTTACTCTGTGTGTTTCCTTTACTGCTTCTCTAAGTGCTCGTTGTACTGCTTTGAGCATGGAATGACTGTGTCTCACAAGTAGTGGATTTTTTACCTATGCTTAGTTCATGTCTTTTCTAGGATGGAGAAGAGTTCCTGGGAAGTGCACGAGAGGAGAATGAAAGAACAGTACCTTATGGCTATCTCAGATAAAGATCAGCAGCTCAGCCACCTGCAGAATCTTATGAGGGAATTGAGGTCTTCCTCCTCCCAGCCTCAGCCCTTCAAAGCACAGTACCAAAGACAGGTGAGGAATTTCAGGGCCAATTGAAATTACCACCACCAGCAACATCAGCTTCTTAAAAGTTAAGTGCCCATCTTCTACTACTAGGCAAGCCATCTTATGACTTCCTATGGGGTGAACAGGGTTTCAGTAATGTGAGTGACCTTAGGAGAGACTTTCATTGTGCTTGTTTCCTGGCAGGCATCCCCAGAGACATCAGTTTCTGTAGATGGATCAGAAAACCTAATTTATGAGACAGAACTTCTCAGGACCCAGCTCAATGAGAGCCTAAAGGAAATTCACCAAAAGGAACTAAGAATTCAGCAACTGAACAGTAAGGTAAGTGTTTTCTGCTAGGCTAAACTTGAGCTTCTTTTGTCCCTGATTGGAAGGGAGAAGGTAAGTAAAAGCTGATTTAGCAGAGGCCTCCAGGTGTACCGTAATTTAAGGAATAGAAGTTTTACCTTTCTCTGAACCTGGGTCACTTATTCCAGAGAACTAAAACCAGAGCCGCTTTCTTTTCTGTGCCCTTGGAAGGGCCCTGGGAATGACTGGGGGAAATCCATACCATAAGAACAGACGCTGACTACCAACCCTGTCTCCTGAGAATCTGTGTTGCTTATTAGTCATGCTGCGCCATCCCCCCGCTTCTTATGAATCGTTGTCCTCCTGTTGCTCTCTGAGGGGTGACAGTGTCTTGCCCTCTTCAGGCGAATCCAGTTAGGTAGTCTATGTTAAAACTAGAGGTGATTTAGGAGATCAAACCCTGGGGTCCAGACACTGACGTCGAGGACAGTTTTGAATGTCCCAAAATGTGTGCACAGTGCTATGTGTATAGGTTTCTCATCACAAAGACTCATCAGTTTCAAGGGTCTGTGATCCAAAAATTATACAAATCAATAGGCAGTTTTTATAAATGAGGAAAATGGCCCAAAGGTAATAAGTAGCTTAGGGCTACTGAGTGATTAAAATGTTTCCACCTGTGAGAATCTATACTCCCAGTACAATTTCTCGCATGTACTTGGGCATGTTAAGATTTACTCTGTTCTCCCTCTTAACACATTATAGTTTCTTATTTTATTCTCGTGGTAACTTACAATTCTCTACGGCACTGAAGAATCTACCCAGTAATATTATTATATACATTTTTAGGTAAAAGTTCTCTCTTGAGCTATATTTGAACTCTGGGGATTCTAGTCATTTGTTAGTAAGTTAAATTTGGACCCAAGCTACTGCCCTTCTTCCTCTTACATTCCTCGATAGCCTATCCTCTCAGATCTGCTTATGAGTTCCTTATGGGTTTTCAGTTAACATACTAGGCATCATTTTAAAAGAAAAAAATCTCTGCTACTCCTCCAGCATTGTTTTCCTGTTTTGGTTGAAAAATTGGATGTTTTCTTACTTTGAGGGAACACACAGTATTATTTGTTCTAAGAGCTTGTGTTAAAAAATTAGATCCTTAAAACCCAGCGCAGTTGGCCTAACCACTGGCTATAGTGCTACAGCCCTGTAGAGTGGTGCTTACCTCTCCTCAACTTCAGTTCTCTCAGCTGCTGGAAGAGAAAAATACCCTCTCTATTCAGCTCAGTGATACCAGCCAGAGTCTTCGTGAAAGCCAGCAGCACTCCAGCGACCTCTTCAATCACTGCGCAGTCTTGGAGAAGCAGGTTCAAGAGCTGCAGGTGGTAAGTGAGGAGGCAGCAGGCGGATGGGAGGAGGGTGAGGAATGGAGAGTGAGTGACAAAGACTGAAGAGTGGGGGAGGAAGTGAAGGAGGAGAAGAGAGTGTTAGTGGAGATGGGAAGGAAGTCCGACAAAGTTACAGAATGAAGGGGTTAGCAGAAGAAAGATCAGTGAGTTGGATGGAGAGAAATCAAAATGTGAGTGGGAAAAAGTGATGACAGATCTTTGGAACTCTGAAACTGAGAAAATACAGGTTTTGTGTCAAGCAATAAGAAATCCATGGGAGGCTTTGGACCTGCGAGACAAAACACAGCCCTGTGGCAGCGTTGGCGAGGAGAGCAGCATGGAAGTTGGAGGAATCTGAGAATTAATGAGTTGCACAGGACATGACGGAGAAGATGGGGGTGGAAGGGCGTGCAAACAAGGGAAGGGTCGCTTCTTTCTGGGGAATCCATGAGTCACTCTAGATGAAGGCTTTAAACCTTGCAAGAGGAGAAATTCAAGAATGAGAACCTGAGAAAAAAGTGAATGAAGACAAGGGTTTTGTGGAGGTGATTATTCTACTGGAGCCAAAGGTTCTCACTTCTGCATCTGGACTTGAGGAGAATCTCAAGTGGGGATATTCCCCTCCAAGATGTCTCACCCTCGCTGATGTTAAACAAGTTCTCACTTTACACAAGTAGTTTCCGAAGAGCTTTCATTACTGAATTATTAAGCTGTGTTTTCTTCTAGGGGCCACTAAACGTAGATGTTGCTCCCGGAGCCCCCCAGGAAAAGAATGGAGTTCACAGAAAGAGTGATCCTGAGGAGACGAGGGAGCCACAGCGAAGGTAGGGAGCGTGGCTGTCCCCTGAGCATGCACTGCGGGGGAGTAACCCAGATGGAACTAGAGTCTACCCTACGGATGTAATAGGTCCTGTCTTACTGGCCTTGCAGAAGTGACCTAAGGATTAAACTGTAACGCTAGTAACTAAAAAATTGTGTGTAAAAATTTGTAAAGCAAAAAGTAGCACTAACACATACACACACGTGCACACGCACACACAAATACCCCACTAGCAAACGCGATGGTATTAAAGTAGAAGATATTGAACCAGTGGCTAAAATCTCTTAAGGTATTTTCTGCAACTTCATTTAATCCCTGTACAGCTGTGCTTTTAAGATATCTTCTGGGGTCAGACTGCATCTAATGATACTGTTTTATTTTCCTTCTATTCTGAAGTTTCTCTGGAGCCCAGCAGCAGCTGTGCAACACTAAACAGGAAGTGGCTGAGTTAAGGAAGCTGCTGGAAGAAGAACGAGACCAAAGAATAGCTGCTGAGAATGCCCTGTCCTTGGCTGAGGAGCAGATTAGGCGGTAAAGGCAGAGGGAGATGGTTCTTCTGACCCTTTCTGATTGTACTTTTGCACACTTCTGTGGCCAGGTTTAGGATTGGTGAAAATCTTACTCTCAAGCCAGGCATTGTGCCACACACCTGTAATCCCAGCACTCTTGGAGGCTGAGGCAGGAGGATCGCACTGTGAAATTTAGCAACTTAGTGAGACTGTCTGAAAATAAAAAGGGAAAAAGGGGCTAGAGATGTAGCACAGTGTGAAGGCCCTGAGTTCAGTCTACCGTAACACACACACACCCACACACACACACACACACACACACACACAATCTTACTCTCACCAGGCCCAGTGAGTTTTGAATCATCATGGTCATCCCGGAGAGCATGGGGCTTGGTTGTTTAGGAAGGCCACACTTTCCAAAGCAGTGGCACTTAAATAGTGAAGATGGTGATCCAGCCTATTCATAGGATTTGTGGGGGTTGTTTTGTTTTGTTTCATTTTGTTTTTGGTACCGGGAATCAAACTCAGGACCTTGCGCTTGCCAGGCAGGCGTTTGTGCCACTGAGCTATATCCCTGACCCTAGTGATAGGATTTGAAATAAGCTGTGAAATACATCTTATTTCATCCCTACAATAACCAACTGAGATAGGTACTGGGATCTTTAGAGGGTCACGTAAATAACAACCCCAAATCTGAGATCTGACTTTTTTTTTTTTGTTTTTTTTTGTTTTTTTGTTTTTCTCCAGTACCGGGAACTAAACTCATGACCTTGCGCTTGCCAGGCAGGCGCTTTTGCCGCTGAGCTAAATCCCCAGCCCCCTGAGATCTGACTTTATTGAAATATTTTCTTAAAGATTAAGAATAGGTAGGAGATTAAAAGATCATTTATAAAGTTCATTTTAAAAGAATCTAAATTTGATTTACTGGCAAATGTACTCCCTAACCCCGACCAATTACAGTCAGTAGAGCCAGGGTTAGCTTCCCTTGCAGAAGACCCTAATTGTGACAAACCGAGCTTGGAGTAACAGACTGAACTGTGCCGCAGTGGCGGTGTGCCCCACGCGTGACTGGGAAGAGTGGGAACATCCCCTGTTCCCGATTCCCAGCTCGCCAGTCTACGCAGTCGCTGCGCATGAGGGTCGAGTGGCTCTGTGTGCCTGCTGCCGGAAGTCCCTCTATGTGGAAAGAAACATTAAGAAGCAGGTACTCCTGCTAGTGTCTCTTCCCTCGGGGAATGGCACTTGTGATGTTAGTGCCTTCTGAAAAGGTTTAGGTGGCCATGGTGGCAGCCCCAGGGAGCGGATCTCATCTGAGATACCTTTTTCTCCCACCCTGCTCACAGCTTCTGAATTTTCGTCCTCCAGTTGGGCCATATTGGTATGCAGTCTGGGAGGTTGGGGCTCCATAGGAGCACAGCGCTGTGTCTTGCCATCTCTACCAAGCGTTTCCAGGCCTGTGCATCCATGGCCGTTTCTCTAGAGCTTGCTGTGGCATTGCTGGACCTGTGAAACCTGGCTGACAGGAGGTTGATCCCCTCCAGCGGAGGGAACCTGACCTGAGCCAACTTGAGAATGCGCAGTGCAGGGTGACTGTGGAGCCCGTGGATGAGCCACAAAACCACACTCGGCCCCTCCACAGTTCCCCCTTTGGCTGTGTGATATAGAACAGAAACTGGTGGAGCTTATTACGTGCTATCTACCTAGGCCAGGTACTGTTAAAATACACGTGGACTCAGTCGAGCGCGTGGAACTCAGTGGCCTTGCAGTTTCAAAGCAGCTTGTTCTTTCGGCTGGCTGGTGCATATCCACGTCATCCCACTGCAGCCCTGCCTCTGCAAGGGGACAGACTGACCTCCACAGTAGCAGACCCTTGTGGCAGATCAGGCTGCCTCTGAGAAGCCCAGCACTTGAGGGCCAGACACTGCAGACAAAACAGGAAGAGTCCAGACTACATGCTCAGGTTCTCTTCCTCAGGCTGCCAGCGGAGATGAAGGCATTCCTTCTCTCCTGGAAGGCAAGGCCAGGTTATGAAGCAGTGGGTATTTCCTTAGGAGGAGAGCGCCATCCTCCCACCCTAGTCAAAGTGCATCCCCATAGGCAGACACTTGACCAGATGTGCTCTGAGGACAGTTCTTGTTTTTGTCAGAGACTCTTGAGTGAGTAATGGCAGCTTCTTCATTAAACAAAGAAGTACCAGTATTAAATAAGCAGACTGCAAAAAATGAAGGAGAAAGCAGCAGAGGCAGCCAGTTCAGTTTAATTCTAAGAACTCCACAGAAATTTTTCTTGGGTGCTTTCACCTATTAGTCTTCAATAAATGACAAGCGCAATGTAATGAGTTTCTCTGAGTCAGACATGGTATGGTGGAAAAAGAACACGAGCTTTAAAGACAAACTGGATATGGAATTCTGGCTCGGCTGTTTGGTTTTTGTGAGCCCTGAGCACAGTCAGTACACCAGCCCTCAAACCTGAGGGTGACAGGTGTGTAAGCCCCGGGCCAGTGCATGCTACATGGCGGACAGTCCATTCCTGGTAGTTGGTTTCACCTTTACTTCTGTGGGAACAGTCTGTGTGGTGGGCAGGGTGGTGGGAGGTCTTCTTCTGACCAGCCTTTCCTTCCGGGGTCCCATGCTCTCCTCTCTTCCTTACCACAGGTTGGAGCATGGCGAGTGGGACTCTGCCCGGGCGCCTATCATTGGCTCCTGCGGCACTCAGGAGCAGTCACTGTTAATAGACCTGACAGGCAGCAGCTGTCGCAGGGTAAGAAGAGCAGGACGCAGAGGAGGCACTGCTCTCAAACAGGGCCTCCTGTGGGAGGGCGCTGCGAAGGCAGAGGGAGAGCGGAAGCTCAGCCTGTGGAAGCTCAGGGAGGGTGCAGAAGACCGGAAGAACCTGGTGGGATTTGCCAGGTCACTTCACCCTGAGACTTTCTCCCAGGATGCCTCCTTACTTGGGTGGTGGGATTAGCTTTACCTGGATGCAGTGTTACTATGGAAGGGAAAGGGATTTCTGCCTGTAGGGTAAAGCTCTGACTTTCAGATTTTTCTTGCAGACCCGGAGTGGTGCTGGATGGAAGAGGGTCCTGAGGTCACTCTGTCATTCCCGGACCCGAGTGCCACTGCTGGCCACCATCTACTTTCTGATGGTTCACGTCCTGCTCATTCTGTGTTTTACAGGCCATCTGTAAACGTAGTTTTCACTTTTTGGACTCTACCCCCCTTGAACTCGGAATTCCCCCTCTCTAACATCAGAACTGTCGATTCCAGCGGAACAGTCTTCCCATTTACAGGTCATGTCTCCCGCTCTCCACAGAAAGTGCCTGCAGAAACAGAGGTGGCTATGAGGGTAATTGGAGCTGCAGAGCCTGGCGTGTCTGCTTTCCTCTGCTGCCCAGGGCCCATACAGGTCTGCGTGTTCCAAGAAGCATCATGGCTTGTTGAGCCCAGTTTTTGTTCTGATTTTGCTAGTCTCTTTGGTCCTATAAGATACTGAGACGTGTCTTTCAGCCATGCCAGTAGGATGATTCCAATAAACCTAATAATCTGAAGCCCCTTACCATTTTGATTGATAAGTTTCTTTGCCTCATTTGCCTTGGTTTTCTCCTGCTTCAGAGGGAGGATGAACATGAATACCACTTCGTAGGACAGGTGATTAGGTCTTTGTAGTGTAGAATGGGAGTGAAAGAACTTCTCCAGGTTTTTAGCTGTTGCATCAGAGGGGAGAACAACATCTTCTGTAACTGTCCTGACACCACTGGAGCGAGTTTGTGGTGCTGGGCTTTAAGGACAGGACTCCTCCATAGCTTATGCTGTTGATTGCATATGAAGTAAGGTATAAGTAACCCATGCCTTTCCTCTGAAAGGCAGGAAGAACTGGCTTTGGACAACAAGGTTCAGATTCTTACCATTCCTGTTGTCTGGATATACCTCAAATGTAGCACAGTGCCAGGGGCCTGCCGACTCAAGTCCAAGGTGAAGTGTTGACTCCAGCCAGGAGTGGGGCTGGTCTGATGACCACACTGCAACCTCTGGCCTGAAGTACTAAGGCCCTGTGCTGCTGGCAGCAGTGACTCCAGTTTCTCAGCCCGGTGGTCATGCCCTCTGCTACTGAGGAAATGGAAGGAGCTTGGAAAGACAACGTACTGCAGTCCACACCTGAGAACACCAGCCAGGAGTGAACTCCATCTGTGCCTGTTCTTCGCCTGCTCTCCCCTCCACCCCGCTCCTCCCAGGTGGTTGTTTTCTCATTACCTACATGATGCACTCCCTGCCTGTTCTTCCTGCCCAGGGAGAAGACTAGGGCTCACTGGTCTATCAGTCTTGTTCTGTAGGGACTACACTTTGGTCACAGCATTCCTAGAACTTTCCTGAACAACTGTAAGTTAATAAAATTATTTTCAGAATGAGTTGTGTGTGTGACTGTGTGTACACAGGTGCTTATGTAGGTATGTTTGCACATTGAAGGGATGAAGGTGCAGGGGTGGGGGGTGGGTGTGCAGGGAGGGGGTGATACGGGGTGAGAAAGCTTTACAAACACGGGCTTCCTACTTACTGACCAACATCAGTAGTGGCTATAAGTATCCTTCTAGCCTTCATTGCTGGACCCCAGGAAGGTGAAATGCAGTGATGAAATTCCATCCTGATACTGAATCTAATGAGTTGTGTCTTAGGGTGTGAAATCCATGCTGTTTCCAGTATAGTACTCGGAGAGCTCTTGAGAACATTAGGTGCCTAGGAATGGAGAAAGGGCAGTTTAGCAGCACCTAGCAGGTTAGATCGGCATTAATGTGTTTTTATACTAAGTTGCTGCCTGGAAAAAGTTGTCTCACTCTTACAAGGTACAACAAGTGAGTTCATGAAACCTAGTCTACATGGTTTCAAAGCCCATACCTCACTACCTCATAAGGAACAAACTGGACATTTGCAACAGATGGATGGGGTTTCTTAGAATCATTTCTGATTAATTTTGGTGCTTTCCCTAGAGAACTATGTTACTTTATGGTGTGTCACAATTATCTGGTCTGATAATTCCAGTTTTGACACTGGATTAGAATTTCAACTATATGCTAAAAGATTTTTTTTCCCTTACTATAAATTTGCTTTCCCTTAAAATAGTTTTAGTGCTACCTGGATAAATAGGTAATGAAGTAGGAGAGAAAAAATAAAGCTGCCCCAAGCATAAAATCCGTGGATTTGGAAGCAACCTTAGAAGCTTTCTATTCCTAATGCATAAATGTTATCATCTGTATTGCTGGCCGCTTTTTTCCAGTCCTGCTTGGCCCCCTAGAGGAGGTCATGGCCTCTGATCCAATCAGGACAGATTTCCACAGACAGTCACAGACGCTCCTGCCACCACCAATTCCTGCCCAAGACAACAAGGGATTTTTCTGTTAGACTCCCAAGTTCCTCATATGATGACATATAGGAAAAGTGACAACCTGTGTTGTCATCTGTCACTCAGCCACAAGCTGCCAGAGGAGTCACTGGAGAATTTCAGGTTGCCTTGGTGGGCAGTGAGAGAGGATGTCAAAGCTTACAGTGGGGTTAACATAGAAGCAAGGACAATGCATCAACCAAAACAAGTCACCTGAGTATGTCTGACTCGAAGAGGGCAGGGAGGGCCAGCCAGTCTTGATGAGCAGTTCACCGGATACCATAAAGACCATCCGTCAGATCATAAGCACCTGGGTCTTTTTTGGTCCCAGGAATCCAACTTAGGGCCTTGTCCTTGCCAGGCAGGCGCTGCACCGCCGAACTACATCCCCAGCCCAGCGCCTGGTTCTTTCAGACTTCCCACTTTCGTACAGAGCCAGATCTGCCAGTGAGCTCAGACTCCACGAAGCCTCCTAGCAAGCTGGGAACCTTCCGCCACATCTTGCTTTGGCCCTTGTGACTTACTCCTTCCCATCATTCGACTGATCAGTATTTTTTAAACATCAACTCTATGCAAACCTTACACTTCTAACTGCTGTGGGTAATGTACAAGTGCATTTGTTTTTTTTAAAAAATCTTGCCCCCAAAAGGCAAATGTGCTTTTCCCCCACTAAGCTTTTCTTGCTTACTAGAGCTCATGTCAAATGCTCTGAATTCCTTCAGTATCCCAAATGCAAATGCCCACCTTTTACAACAAATCCTGTCCTACAGCATTTTCTATTGAGTTTTCTGATTCGATGTTTGTTTCTCTGGGCAAGATTACAAACTCTGAGAGTGAAAGCAATATTTTTTTATAACTGCCCCATCACACTCATAACTTAGCACAGGACTAGGACAAAAAATTTAACCCCTTTGACTCAAGTGCCTAAGGCAGAAGGAACTGACTCAAGCTTCAGGAAGTTGCTGTGAGGACAGGGTGGCAGGAAATGACAGAGAACCTGAATACGGAACTGAAGCAGCCGCTCGGTTTCTCGCTGTGAAGTGGCAGCAGCCAGGGAGGCTACCGGGCGTGAACGTGAAGAGCTGAGCGCTTCGAACCAACCTGCACACTAGAGGTGGGTACCTGCGTGGTGGGAGACTCGGGAAACACAGGTAGGGTAGAAGAGGGACCGGCCTGGCGCTTGGCCCTTGGGCAGGGACTAGGTCACTGCTAGTAGGCTTTTAAGTTTTGCTGGCTAGAAGGCCTGGCTGCAGTGGTTGTGGAGAATGCGCATCTGAGGATGGAGACGAGAGAAGGACTCCAGCCCGGAAAGCAGGCTTCAGAAGCCACGGAGGACGCCACTCCAGCAAAGTGTTCCTGGTTTCTGACAACATGCGGTCTACTCAAGGGCTGCTGCTCCTCCCCTTGAGCCGGAAGAGAACCACAGGGATGGAGACAGACCTCCCCTGAGGGTCTAGCCAAGAGGCAAACACACTAGGAAGTACAACAAAGCAGGAAGTGGTCACTAATATGCACTAATGCTGAGAACCAAGTGCCAGTGGGGGTCAAGGGCAGGTGTGATCGCTAAGCTGGGGTTCCATGACTGTAAGATCACAAAATCCAAGTGTACTGGAGAGGACTCCTGTACAGATCAGCTAGGTTGACCAACCCCTTCATTTATTTTCCACTGAGGAAATCAGAAGTAACCGATGATTTTCCAGATTTTTGAAGTTAATGTTTGTGAGTAACCTAGTCTGGTACCCCGCAAAGGAGCACATCCTCTGTGTTGATTGCATTGCCATGGTCCGCAGAGGCCTGGTCACAGAGCTCGGGATGTTGCCAGCTCTCCTGACTCCCAGTCTGTGTGCTTTACTGCTATTGCAGGTCAGCCGTGTGCCTAGCCTGGCACCATGCTTCACTAGATCCCTAGTCACTCTCACTTCTGGATAGCAACCTTGTCTGCTTGACTTCTGGTCAGCGGGGAAAAGAGATGAAGTTATCTCTTTGTCAGAAGCTTTTCTCTTTTTTCAGAAACAGAAGAAGGTAAGAGGTTGATGGGAAAATAAAGCTGAGCAGCGGGAAAGATGAGACCGAGTCCTCATCGCTTCCCTCTCACTCGTGAATATCTCAGACTTCTCCTTTCAGACTTTCTGTGTGAGATCTTTTTGTTGCAGAGCAGCCCTAAAGCCAGGACGTAAGAATCAGGGACTGTAAGAGTGCAGGGTTACAGGCTTGTTTACCTGTCCCCACCCCTCACCCGTGGCTGTTGCTCCAGCAGGAAGGCAGAGCTGCTCCGGGGCTAGGCTGACTGCCCACATTTCTCCACTGTTCCCTCTGGCACCTCTTTAGCCGATCTCCTCTGACTCTCCCTAGGGCTGGATTTCAAGGTATTATTAGTCAACAGTGTGGAGGAGGATGGACTGTCCAAGCAGAAACAGAAACAAGAAACTGGGGCCCCAGATAGAGAGACAGGACTGCCCTAGAACTGGCTATAAAAGGAGCTCCTTCAGGAGACAGCAGAGCAGAGGGAAGACCTCCAGTGCGAGGAGCTATCTGAACAGGGAGGGAAGGGCAGGGAGTTGCCAGCGAGCCCCCGCCTCCCGGGCCAGCAGAGCAAAAGAGCGCTGTCCACTGTAACCTCCTAACTTTAAGATCTTAGGCCCAAGCGGCAAGGCTGGGGGCAACACCAGGGCAGCCGCAGCAGAATAACAGTGTGAGACCCTTTCACATTCTGAGTGTTTCTTTAATGCTTACTTGGTGGATGAAAATCAAATGCCTCCTGATGGTTAAAATAAGGGATATATTTTTGAACCACTTGTTGTTTTTTGAAATATAATTTAACTGCTTTTTAAATTGACTCAGAAATGACTTATTCCCAGAAAATACCGGGTTCCCATTGTTCTGTGTAGGAATTTCAGCTGATTGTCCCAGGTGACTACCCACATCTGCAGTGGCCAGTACCAGAGTGGCTATGGGACAGCACTTGCAGTAAGAGTTGGAAAATTCTCAATATAGTTAGTGGAGTAAGTTGCAGACAGGAAGGAGATGTTTGCTTTGTCAGGAGCGGGACTCGTTTTTATTTCTCTGGCTATGAAAGAAGTCATATGTAGAAATCTGAGTGAAATGGCATTATAATTCTGTGGCTGTCACAGCACCCGTCACTGGTGCTACCACTGCAAGCCATTGCCTGGCTGACCTCTGGACACAAGTGAATAGTCCCAGCAGTTTCAGCATCCAGGTTATCTAGTCTTACCTACGGCTATGAACACGTCTCTCCAGACTCAGGTGGGCCCAGGCCACGTGTGTGTTGCATAAACCCCATCTCCTTCACCTCTGATGCTTTTCTAAAACTTCCATCCACTATGCCTCAAGCTTCTATTTTCTTCTAAGAAAAAAAATGGCAGGAAACATGGGGTTGTTGTGTCATTGACTTCAGCATTCCCTCTTCTCTCCTCTTCATTCTTTTGTGCCCTATTACTGCTGAATTCTGTCACCCTCAGATGTGGAAGTCTGTGGTGGGCCATGATGTATCCGTTTCTGTGGAGACACAGGGTGATGACTGGGACACGGACCCTGACTTTGTGGTAAGTTTGGAAGTAGTTTTGCTTGGACAATGAGGGCATGGGGGGGTAGGTATCTGGGTCCCTCTGTGCCCTCTGAGGGGGCTTAGGAAAGGACCAGCTGGGACTGAGACAGCCCTTGTGAAGGGATGAGTCTGTCGGACAGTTAGCTGTCATGCTGGTACATGCACAATAGCGGGTGTCGAGGGTGGGAGGAGACAGGTGTGGATGAGTCTGGCAGTGTGGTTGACAAGCTATGACAGGCTATCTGAAGTGGAGCAGCAGGTGAATCTAGGTCTGCTCTGGCCTGTGATCTAAGATTTGGTTCCACTTTTGGTTTATGTGTTCCAAAGCGAGCACATGTGATCCAAGATTTGGGCTGCACATGTGTGATCTGAATGGACTGAGATCTTGTAGGAAGAGCAAAGTGTGAAGGAGGCAGAGTAGTAACGGAGGTTTCAGAACTCAGCAGTTTAACTTTTGCATGGGATTAGGGTGCAAAGACTCTGCCCAGTGCAGGGAACATAGAGGCCATGTTTGGCAGTTGTGTGACCCTTTCAGTGGGGTGCATTTCTCGTTGGATGCTGTCTTTTGCAGAATGACATCTCCGAGAAGGAGCAACGGTGGGGAGCCAAGACTATTGAAGGCTCTGGACGCACAGAGCACATCAAGTAGGTGTCGGAGGGGCTAGGGCCAGGGCATTGGAGGAGCACAAAGAAAACAGAGACTGAGGGGAGGACGTGGAAGAAAAACGAGGGGTGGTTCATGTCTGTGTGTTTGGTTTTTTGCTAAAGTTTGTTTCCATGGGCCCCTGTGTGTGTTACTGTGCATTCCCATGTCATAGCCCTCCTCTTCTCTCCCCACTGTATTATCTGCCTTTTATGCCTAACAACTCTGTTGTTTCCCCAAGGGAGTCTACTGTAGTAACGGCCGCTCTCTCTTCAGTCAGTCATGAGAGCAGCAGAGCAAGTGACTCAAATGCTAAGGTTATATCTACCTACCTACGTACCGTCTATCAGTCACGTATCTAGCTGTCATCTGCTGGTCTCTGCACATAAGTACAAACATCTGCTTAGAATGTAGAGTGACCACACAGGCTAAGAAGGATTCAGTAAAATGTCATGGGGAGGAACTCAGAATAAATGCTGTAAAGGGGACAATATCAGCTCTCATACTTGGTCAAAGTGATGTAAAATGCAAATTTGTACTCGGCTACTTTGCAGAAGTTGGAAGACATTATGAAGAAATAAGTCATTTGGTCATAGTTCTGATGATTAAAACTTTATAAGACATGATGTTTAGGGTTTTAAGATTGTAGCCCAATGTTCATTTTATCAGAAACACCCTTTGGTATCAAGGAGAGGAGGAACTCCCTGACTTATGTAGGATTTTCTGTGGGATTGTGTATATGATAGTAGCAAACACAATAAGTAGTATAACAAGAGGAATAAAAAGTAAAGAATCAACAACTACACACAAAGTGGCAAAAAGAGTGCAATCTTAAACTCCATTTTAATCTACACATGCACATACACACACCCACATGCGCGCGCACACACACACTCACTATAACAGCAATATTTTAACTTCCTTTTAAAAAAAAGTATCAGTGGATACCCACATGGCATAAGTAACATACAAACAAAGCTGGGCTTATTTTGTGCAGTTTGAAAATATTCAATACTGTGCATGATTGTTTAATCAGACATAACTGGTTTCAATTAAATATCTATAATAAAAATTATTCTTAAACAAATTCTGGAAGCAGTTGGGGTGACAAAATAAAGGAGTGGAATCTTGTAAGAAGTTGCTTTGATCCTCACTCCTTTAGAGGCTCATAGATTTTTTTAAAGGCCTTTTTCCCTTTTTGAGTAAAGGCCAGTCAGCCCTAGAACCCTGGAAACTGTTAGGGTGAAGATACATGTTGTGCCTTTCTCTCCCACTGGTGTCTCTTGCATGGTAGATAGCAGTAGAACATTTTTAAAAAGATTTTTATGTCCTGCCATGAACACATAGAGGACCTTGTATTTGTGTATCCTATAGATTTAGATTCACTCACAGCCCCTGCTAAGTATGTGAACATAGACACAGAAACTCTGCATCTCAGCTTAGTTATCAGTGGAAATTGGAACAGCTCCCCTACAGATTCAGATTCAAGATTAGGACTCAAAATAAAATATCATATGGCGCTATCTCCTGTAGACTTAGCACTTGACTGTTTGGTGATGTTATTTACATTTCCTGTTCATATAGATTAGTTTATACTTTGCTTCTTAAAAGTTAATATAAACCTGAAAACAGATGATGGGCTTTCTTCTTCCTAACTGGTGTTTTTACATGGATTGCCATGCTGCAGAACTCCACTTGCACATCACTTTGATTGGTGTCCCTAAATTTGCATCAGGTGCTAACCCCGTGTATCTCCTTACAAACCTAACTGGATCTGTAGTCACTGGAAGAAATGTTGAAGATATTTTCACAAAAGCTTACTCACCTGCCATTTACCCAGGCCCAGTCTCTGCTGGTTTCAGACCAGGTCACCTTGGACAAATCTCCCATCCCCTGATCCTTGGTTTCCTATATATCAAAGAGATAGCTAAAGGGCAATTCAGTATTAAATCTCTAATCTCCTGGGTTCCCTCTAGCTACTGTGGACTAAGCCAACCTTCACGGTCAGATGCGAATCAGTAAGGCCCTTGAAGCAAAGAGGGAAGTCAGAGAAGACGGTAAGGTGGTTGCCGAGCTGAGCTGGCTTGAAGCAAGAAAAGGAAGTGACACGTTCTCACTGATCTTGCTACCTTCCCCCACACCGCAGTGTTTCTTTTTAGGTCTGTCAAGAATAAATTTAGTTTAGACTGTGGAGTTGGGAAAAGGATCTGGGGATGTAGGGAAATAAGAAGAAGAGGAAGTGGAACAATAGATACATATCCACCCCTCCCCCACTGTGCACAGAAACGAGGTGCCTGAGTGGCAGGGTGTAGCCCTCTCTGTACCCTCCTCTCTCCACCCTTGCTCGTTCATTTTCTTTGGCGTCCTTCCTTATAAAGATGAAAGACTGAAGCACCTTATTACTCTCTGACAGTACTTATGAAACTCTCTCTGGGAAAGGGCAAGGGTTTGTGTTTGTTTGTTTTCAAACCTGTCACAGATTGATACTTTTGTAAAATAAAGTAAAATTGAATTTCTGGAAAAAAATAAAAGAAATAGACAATATATACATAATTTTTATTTTTATTTGTTTGTTTTGTTTTTCTGGTACCAGGAATCAAACTCACAACCTTGTGCTTGCCAAGCAGGCACTGTGTCACTGAGCTAAATCCCCAGCCCCAATTTTTATTTTTAGATTCAGCAAATGTAAGATCACTATGTCAAATTGCTATAAAATTTTCTAACCACATATTCTCAATTTTTTTTTTCTTATTTCATCGTGGAAAACAGTTGAGGGCTGCGCTTTGAACCACACTGTGTCAGGCTAGGCTTTTCCTGTTTCCTGAAACCTGTCTGGCTTTTAGGTTAGATCTTCACTGAATGATAACCATAGGTACATGACTCAGTGGCCCTGTCTACTTTCTTGTGTCCTGACATTTAATACCAAGTGCAAATGAAGAATATTAAAATAAAATTTTGAAGATCTAGACACTAGTCTCAGCTCTCCTTTATAAGGGATCAAAGCAGTAAAGGGAATTATTTCACTGCTCTGTCCCTATTTCCCTATGTGACTAGAAATAATTGTATCAGCCCTGTTAAGGGGTACTATGGAGAGCCATGTCTCTAACACAGGGCTAATGGCCAATAGTTATATTACATGTCATGCAAAACTAAGTGCTTTTCTAAAACAATCATGTATCATAAATGATGCTATCATCCTGATTTCACAGAAAAGTGAACAGATGGATTCATATTTAACAGTTTGTGCAAGGACACAAATAATACACAATTTAAATTCAACTCGGTCTGACTCCATAGGCTGAATTCTAACCATTATATCACATTGTTTCTCTCTAATAAACACAATATTGTCATGTTCATAATGCTCTTGTTGAAATAGAATATAATTCCTATGAATTGTTGACATTTAGAATGACTTGTAGGTTGGCCTTACAAGGCCTTAAGTGACTTGTAGGTTGGCCTTAACATTCTATAATTATGTTCATAAATATGAACCTGTCTAAGAATGCCTAAAATCCACATTAAAACATTTAATTTCTTTATTTTAAAACATTAAAAATGTTTTAAAATTAATTTATTATTTAATTAATTATTTAAAAACATTTTTATGTTGAAACATTTAATTTTCTTTACTTTCTTATTTTAAAACATTAAAACATTTAATGTTTTCTTTATTTTTTTTGTTTTAAAATCAACCTTAATGAGTATAATAATTATAAGGACATAGTTTGGTGGATTTTTTTGTTTCTTTTTTCTTTTTTTTTTTTTGAAGTAAGGTCTCACTATGTAGTTCAGGCTGGCCTTGAATTGAGCGATCCTTCTGCCTTCAACCTCCCAAGTTCTGAGATTATAGGTGTGCACCACCACACCCAGCCAGTTTAGAAAATTTTGGTTATATATACATATTTGGGAGAAAAAATTATATATATATTTTGGAGGAAAAAAATACACACACGCACACACACACACACAATCAAGATATAGAGTATTTCTGTTGTCATGAAAACTTTCCTTATGCTCTTTGTAGTCAATGCCTCCCCTCTCCCCTCTGCCCAGAGGTAAGCACTGATCTGCTTTTTATCAGTATAGGGTAATTTTATCTGTCTTAGAATGTCATATACAGTGTAAATGAAATAGCAAAGATTTTACTGTTTTGAGTTTGTCTTTCATTCAGCATGTTTTTGAGATCAAGGCATGGTGCATGCATCAGTGTTTTGCTTCTTTTTTACGGTCAGAGTATCCCATTATACGGAAATACCACAGTTTTAGACTTTACCTTGTTGCTGGACATTTGAATCTATTACAAAGATACCATGAGCATTACGGTACAAATCTTTTTGTTGATCTGTACTTTTACTTCTCTTGGGAAATATTTAAGAATAGAATCACTGAATCATATAGCAAATGTATACTTAACTTCTTGAGAAACTGCCAAATTATTTTCTGGGAAGTATTTACCTGTTTTCATTCCCACTTACCAATACATGGAGCTCAGCAGCTCCACATCCTTATCAGTGGTTTTAATTTCAACTACTTTTATGTGTATATGGTGATTTTATTTGTGTTTCTTGTCTGAATAACTTTATCTTGTACCATTCATGTCTTTGACAAATATTTTCTCCCAAATTGTAACTTGCTTTTCATTTCATTAATGGCATTGTAGTAGAGCAGGAGAGTTTAATTCTGAAGAAGTCTAACTTACCAAAATGTGTTAATTGTTAGTGTATCTCAGAAATTCTTATCTACCCCAGAGTTATGAAGATTTTCTTCTACATTCTCTTCTGATTTATATTATTAGCTTTTACATTTAACTCTATGATGAAATGTCAAGTTAACTTTTGTAAGATCAAGACTGAGTTTCATTTTTTCCTCTGTAGGGATCTTTAGTTGTCCAGCACCATTAAAAGTCTATTCTTTTCCCATTGATTTAGCTGGAATCTTTGGCCACATCACTATAAGTGTATTTCTGGACTCCATTCTGTTTCATTGAGCTATATATCTACCCTGGCAGCATGTGGACCTGCAGTGATTATTGTAGCTTTATAAGTCATGAAGTCAAATAGTCCTCCCATTTTATACTTCTTTTTAGAATATAGGTAAAACTTTTCAATACTCCAGTGGGTTATACTCCCACATACATTTTAGAATAAGCTAGTCAGTTCCTGTAAAATGCCTGTTAGGATTTTGACTGGGAATACATAAATGCATAGGTCATCTTGGGGGAGTGTTAGGTTTGGCACTAAATAGGACAAAAAACAGAGACAGATAAAACAAGCCCTTATTGCCTGCATGGGAAGGTTGCGGGAGATTGCAAGGACCCTCAGAGGAGGAGCTGGGGAACGGGTTTTTATTAGATTGGACTAGAAGGGGAGTTAATATGGGCAGGCGATGTGTCCTATCTCGAGGAGACTGGGAGTTATTGGCGCGTGTGAAAAAGGGAGTAGGAAATTTATCTTGGGGTCTGAAGAAAAAGTGTGTGATCTGGCCAGTGCCATTTTTGGGATTCTGGATGTCTATCAGAGAGAATTAAACTCTTAATAATAACACTGATTTTTCTAATTCATGAGTCTAGCTTGTCTCTCCATTTTTTTAGGTTGCCTTTAATTTTTTTCAGAAATGTTTTCCAGTGTTCAGGTGTTGTAATATTTTGTTAAATTTATCCTGAAATATTTCACATGACTGTAACTGATATTTGTTAGTTTTCAACTTCCAAATGTCCATGGCTAGAATGTAGAAATACAGTTCATGTTGATATAATGACTTGGTGTCCTGTGGCTCTGCCTAATGTCCATAATAGTTTTAGTTCCCCCTTTATTGATTCATTTTCCAAATACGTGATCATGTCATCTGTAAAGACCTTGTAGTCAGAGTCCCTCACCTTTATCCTTTTAATTTTGTAATAAAACCCCCAAGGTTTGTTCTTTCTCTTCAGCTTTGAGACTCTGGATTTTGCTTGTTCCCCATAGGCAGCATTGCTTTATTAATCCAACAGATTTGAAAACTTAAAACAGATACCTGAAAGCATAGATATGGCACTTTATACACTGAACTGTAAGTTTTTGCTTTTCTCGCTTCCATCTGATCACTATCTCCATACGCTGGTCACCTTTGTGTCCTCACAGCCTAACAGTGCTGCATGCTCAAAAGCTGTCTTAATTAATATTTATCAAATAAAGGAATGATATTGTAAGATCCATTCAGAATGGATTATATCCTATATCCTGAAGAAGCTGCTAAAAAGCTGGTTTCCTTTGGCTACAACAGTTTCATTTAAAATAATATTATTTCTAGGCACCATGTTCTGCACTTTTTGTCATTTTTAGGTGGCTATTTCTGAATATCATTTTTCTGATCCCTTTTAAAACTTTGTTTCAACTATAGCAACCATTCAGCAATCCCTGAGCTATGGCTGCACACTGTTGGAAATACTTCACAGAATAACTCTGTGGTTTTGTTTTGCCTATAGTTCTATTTTTTAGGCCTGTGAAAAGGGACTACAAGACAGAAAAAAGCATGGAAGGCCTAATACCTTTTAAAATTTTAGATATCTGTACGTTTCCTCAGGAAGGTAGCTTAGGACATGAATATGAATTCATGCATGTTTAGAGAAGGTGTCAGAGCAAGGAAGATGCCTCTACCCTAAATGCTCCTAAATTAAATTGCTGGAAGAAATTTGAATCTAAGACCCCAGGAGTTTTGAAGCTGTCATTGTGCATAAGTCAAGTAGAGATTAAAAAGAATCATGATAGGATGACTGGACTGAGCATCTGTTCTTTTTAAAAGGGTTATCTTGAAGACAAAGAGCTTCATTAAAGTGACCTTGATGAGCGATGAGTGTTGAAGGAGTTACATGTGAAATTCCTTAAATAAAAATATATTTAATTGAAAAAATCACTGAAACCATTCCAAACTTGCAAATTTTTCTCAGTCAAAATCAATGTTCACTCTTTTTTCTTCATCCCTCATCTGAACACTTTGGCTGGACAGCCTCAGGCAGTCATTTGCATGTTCTTGGAAGCAGCAGCTTTTCCAACACAGCCAGTTCTAAAGTGTTGGTTCTGTTGCACTACAGTATAGGATCTCTGCTGTCTCTGCTGCCAGAGGCTTTAGCTGGGACGTGGGAACACGAGGTTCTTCCAGCACTTAGATTAATTTCACCTGGCTCATAGCCAGCTTTCTAAAATTAACTGTGGCTAAAGCTGAGGAGGCATTTAAAAGGCCTTTGATGGGACATTCCAAAAGGCCACCAGATGGGTCTGTTCGTCCACAAAGGAAGATCATTTCTACTGAGATGGCCACTCTACCTGTAACAAAAGGTCCTGTTTGTCCTGAGCTAGTGAGATCCCAGCAAACCTGCATTGCTCATTGCAGAAAGTCAAGTTTCCTATTTGGAGTTCTTTTGCTCAAATGTTTTGAAGAATCCCCAGGGGTCGTTGTATGGGGTTATCCCAAGTGGGTATCCCTGTCACTTCACGCTACCGGTGCTGAGCTGTGGCTTCATATTCTCAGGCCAAACACACCGGCAGAGGTGTCCCTCGCCTCTCTCCCATATTGCAGTCACCTGCGTGGTAAGGAAGGCGGTGAGGATGAAGTAGGGGAGGCCTCCTTCAGTTTTCCTACTCTTTCCCAGCAGCACCCCTAATCAGAGTTATGTGGGCTTTAAATGGCTATAACAGTTAATGATTTGTGAACTTATACTTAGTTTTTGTGATTAGTTCCTCAGAAATTATCGGGCTTGGGGAGGAAGGGGTCAAGATTCTAATTTTTGAATTAAAAAAAACAACAAATATTTAGGCATAAAGAAATTTCTCCAGTGCTGCACTATTATAATCATCACTTTTAATGACTTCTAATATGTGCTAAAAAGGGACATTTCAATTTTCTAAACAATTTTCCAACTACTGGCCATACAGATTTTCTTTTGCTTTCTGCTACTGTATACATATACACTGTTTTAATGAATGATTAAACGTTAGGCTCTGCTATGCGTATTTAAAATTATTTCTCTGGAGTAGACTCCTTAGACTAGAATGAGTGGGCCCAAGCGTATATGAATATTTTTATGCTTCTTGAGATCAATCACCAAAATGATAGAAAAAAAGTCTACTCCGAGAGAAAGCTAACTTCCTAGTTATTACAATATGGGCAGCATTATACTCTAATACCTGAGAACATGAAAAACAGGACTAAAGATCAGAAGGACATGTTAGTGAGCAAAAGAATAGAGTAGAAGAAATACTAATGGCTCCTGGAGAATTTCAATCAGGCTGTAGGATACAGATTGTACTGAGCTGTGCTTCCTCAACCATCACCGGTATACTGTGAGGACTGCGGTTATTGCTACAAATAAGCAAACAGACCTTAAGACGTCTGTTTCTCTGGGAGAGTGGGTGCCCTGGCCTTCCTGTGCCGGGTCTCATCATGTGCTTACTTCCAGCATCCACCAGCTGAGGAGCAAAGTGTCGGAGGAACATGATGTTCTTAAGAAGAAAGAGATGGAATCAGGACCCAAAGCATCCCACGGCTACGGAGGGCGCTTTGGAGTGGAAAGAGACCGAATGGACAAGGTGAGTTGAAAGGGAGAGATATGCTTTAAAAAATGAATAAATGATAAATTGACTCATTTGTCGGTTTGTGGTTTAGAGCTTGTCAAAGGGCAGTATTCATTTGGATTTAAAGTATTATATCTACATGTTGTTTGTATCAATTGTTTTTATCTCAGTGCATAAGAAGTAGATGACAGAAAATAAAGTCAAACCCTCGGAGCAGCTGGCCCTCCACAGCATGAGGCATACTAACTGGGGCAGTGGAGAAGGAGAAAAATGGGATTTAGAGTCATTTGCTGCTTTTTAAAATGTGTCGTGTCTAGTTGCTACTTTGCTTTCTTTTTTTACCATGTGTTTACTGATTGTTTTGCCTATATACATATTACCCATCATATGTTGTAGAAAAGTTCAGAATTCACTTCCAAACTTTGATGGCCATACAAGCAAAGAGCTAGGACAAAAACATAGCTGTTCTAGTGAAAAATTCTCTCCAGTCATGGTATCCATCCATTCAGTCCCCTTGGGTCTCCCTCACACTGCTCATTTCTTCTTGGTGGCCTTGTTTTAGGTCTGGTTTTGTTCAGTCTACCCGGTCTGCTATTTCCTGTGGCTCCGCCCATCCTCTGGGCGTTTCTGAAAGGTGGCTCCCTAATGGTATTAGAGAATGGGCAGGGCTCCAGAAAAAGTCCCCGTGCTCTCCTGTGACCCATTACTTGGCATCACTGCTGGGGCTATAGACTCACCCAGAATGGTGTTTTTCATATGCTAACAATGTCCCATGGTAACATCCCATGCATCTCCTTATCTATTTTTTCCAAGTTCGGCTTTGCTTCTTGCCTCATTCCCTTCTTGCTTTTTCTCAGAGTGCCATGGGCCACGAGTATGTCGCGGAGGTGGAGAAACACTCTTCGCAGACAGATGCTGCAAAAGGCTTTGGGGGCAAATACGGAGTTCAGAGGGACAGAGCTGATAAAGTAAGTGACAACTTTCCTCCCCAGACCTTCCTCCTTCAACCCTGTGGGACTTACCAAGACTCACCCCTGAGAAGATGGAGGCGCATATTTTGGGGTAGAGGATAATGGACGTTGGAGTCAGGCATCATCACAAGGATAGTTCTTGTGCCTTCCCGCAGCAGGTTCCCTCTTTGAACACTGGAGGCAACATGCTGAGCTGAAGGCATTCGTTTAAGTGAGGGCGCAGGCTGGGCATGCAGCTCAGCAAGAGGGCACTTGCCCAGCATGGGGGAGACTCGGCTCCATCTCCAGCCTACAAAATAGAAACAAATAACGGCAAAGGTTTGCAAACTGTTTGACTAAGACCCTCTCAATTCATTGATTCTTTATTATACCTATACACGAAGCGAGAAGACAGAATCTCTGAAGTTCTTCTTCTGGCCTTCTAATTAAAACTTCATAAATAAATGTTATGCCTTCCAGGAAAACAGAGAGGTCAGTTTAAGTACTAGTACCATGGCAGCAAAAAATCAACTAAAGAAATTAGGACTACAAATTTTTAGAAGGTAAAAGTTACTTTTCATACGAGTTAGCATTAATCTCTAAAGTCCAGGTGTTTATAGACTCCTTTGTACAAGCACAGTCTGAAGGAGAAAACAATACAGTACAGTCACAGGATGCTACAAAGGGCAGGAGAATAAGATCAGATTCACTGGGGCTGGGGATTTAGCTCAGCGGCAAAAGTGCCTGCCTGGCAAGTGTAAGGTCGTGAGTTCGGTTCCCGGTACCGGAGAAAAACCAAAAAAAAAAAAAAAAAAAAGATCAGATTCGCTGATGCCCACAGTTCCACAGCTATCAAGTCAGACTGTTTGCATTCATATTTCAGGGTGCAGGCTGATGTCTTTTTCCCTGCAGCTGCATGCTGAGAGGGGACCTCTCCCTCACAGTTGGCTGAGGTTTTTTTTTGTTTTGTTTTGTTTTTTTTTAATTTATCAGCCATGGCTAGTTTGGTGATACAGAAACCATAAAGCTAAGTGCTAGAAGTTCATTGTTTGCACAGGTAGTGGGGGAACCCAAATCAAACCCGGAAAGTTGAAAACTTGCTATAAAGGAAAGGAAAACGCAGAAAATAATTTTAAAGGCGATAGAAGTATGCTACAAACTTAATCATCTAAACAACTGAGTGTCGTGTGAATCAAGAAACAATGCTTCACAGCTTCCAACACGCAAAACACTGGACTTGCTTAGAGACCCGTTGTTACTGAACCAATGAAGATGCCGCTGCACAACTAGGACCGAGGAGGTGGAGTTTCAGTCTAGAAATGTCTGCATCCACAGCCTGTGCTCATGGCTGTGTAGCCCACTGCCCACCACCAGCCATCCAGACTCTGTTTCTACAGAAGCCCCATAGCCACCCCTGAGCCCCTGTACACTACCTCTGGGGCTGAGCTGGGAGGAAGGGTGAGTGGGCAAGAGCGCTGTCTGTCTGACTCTAACGAGTTCTCTGTCCTCTTCTCCGTAGTCAGCAGTGGGCTTTGATTACAAAGGAGAAGTAGAGAAGCACGCGTCTCAGAAAGGCAAGGAATTATGCTTCAGCCTCGCCACCCCCCTGGCCGCTGCCCTGCTCAGACTCCACCTCCCAGTAGCCTCCCTCAGTGCCCCTGGGTTCCACCCCCCACCTCTATTTTATTTACTTTTCCAGTCATGCTTGCTTTCTTCTTTCTCCTTTATTGCTTTCTTGGAGATTGGTCATTTCTTTTAATTCCTTTTTTCCTCTAATGATTAAAAATAAGGCGTGCTACTCCTTTATTCTAGGTTATCCTTAAAGTTTAACATGTATCTCTGATTTAAATATAAAACTAATAGCTAGGCCTGGCGGTACACGCCTGTAATCCCAGCACTTGGGAGGCTGAGACAGGAGGATCATTGTGAATTTGAGACTAGCCTGGGCTACAAAGTGAGCTCAAGGCCAGCCTGAACTGCATACAGAAACCTGTCTCAAAAAGACAAAACAAACAAACAAACAAACAAAAAACCTTACCTTATTTAAGCTCTTATTTTAAACATACTCATTTTACAGTTTATTTTAAATATTATATCACTTGCAGTTCTTGGGCCTTAATTCTGTTTGATTGATCTGCTTTCTTAGTAGTTACTTATTTTCTCAGTTTTGTTTGTGAACTTATTTCAGTGGGGACAGGGATATTTGTTTTAAAGGAGTTTCATATATCTTGATTTTGGGTAAGTGCCTAATATAAATAAATTTGGCTTCTACTCCTGGCCTAGTTCTAGAGTTGTTAATAGTAATGGTCCATTTTTTTTTCCCTTATTGAGTATAACTTCTTAAATGCATATAATCTATTTGGACTTTCTGTTTTTTCTTATGTCAGCTTAGCATGCTGTACTTTTCAGGAAATCTGTCCATTTTACCTATGTTGTTTAATTTATTGGCATAAACTCACTTATATGATTCCTTCATTTTCTACTCAACCTCTTTAAGGTATAGGCCCTGAAGTTTCCAAATCTTACAATTAAATTTCCCCCTATCAAATGCTGAACAAGCTACAAGCCCCTTCACCATTTCCTGGAGGAGTGAATACTCCTCTAGAAAGCTTTTATAGGACTGGGCGGAGTCTCCTTTCTAGCTCCCACTCCCCTGCCTTGCCCACTGTTGTACAGAAATTAGAACCCCAGACTTTAGATCCTAATCCTTATTCATTTGATTTGGAATTTGAAACACTCACATTCCATGTGATGTCACCTCACAATGACTGTCACACATACTCAGCTTGCCTTGCCTCCATCTTTCTGGAGTCTAGATTTTCTTCTTTTTTTTTTTGAGTTTCACTAAGAAAGTATTATGTTTTAGCTGATGTCTCTCTATTTGTATCAAAACAGGGGAGAGGCATTTCATATATATATATATCCGTCCTTGTTTCCTGCCCATCTCTTCCCACACTTTCTATGCTTGTCTCTTCCTTGCACAGCCATGTGGGGAGGGGCATTGCAGTGGTCCTCTCCTGATAGGGTGGAGGCGAGGAAGGAGAGGAAGTGAGGGAGCAGTGTTCAATTAAGCCAGGCCTGTGTCTGAGGCCTGCTCTCTCCCGGGCCCTGTCACTCCACCTCCTGACTTCTCTCTTCTTCAGCACGTTCCTGTGGGCTGAGGGTGGGCTCTCACGACTGCCCCTTTAACTAGATTACTCTCGGGGCTTTGGTGGCCGTTATGGAGTGGAGAAGGATAAAAAGGACAAAGCTGCCCTGGGATATGACTACAAGGGAGAGACGGAGAAACACGAGTCCCAGAAAGGTGAGTGGGGCTGGGAGGAGGGAGGTCACAGAGGAGCCGAGGGCCCTCCTCCCTTCCTTGCTGGAAGCTGAGCAGCGGTCCACAATGGGACAGAGGCGGGCGGGGCAGGCGCAGAGGACAGCGGCCGGAGGACGGCAGGCGGAGGAAGGAGGCTGAAGAGAAGGGCTGCTGAGTGAGGAGTATGTTTTGGTTCAGAGTCTCCCAGGCTCTGCTTCACAGAGGGACACGGGAACTGGCTGGGGGGCTGTCCTTTCTTCTCCTATTTCTTCTTTTACATTTATTCCTCCTTGTCTATCACTTGTCTCCTTTTTATTCTCCTCCCTCCATCTCTCTTCCCCGTTCTTTAATTTCCCCCTCCCATCGTTTCCCCCGCTCTTTCCATCCACGCCTCCATCTTCTCATAATCACTTCCTCCCACCTCTCAGCGCTCCACATTCCGTCCTTCAGTCTTTTCCCACTGCTCTCTCCGCCCACGCATGCCCGGCATTTCAGCCTCCTGTGTGACTCTCAGCACTTTCTTTCCTGCAGATTATGCCAAAGGCTTTGGTGGCCAGTATGGGATCCAGAAGGACCGAGTGGACAAGGTAAAACACCAGAACGTCCATGTCTTGAGAAGCGTTGCCTACGTTTAGGGAGGCACACAGAGGACAGTGAGGGGCGGTGCTGGGGAGGGTGGGGCCGTGTGCTGCATGCCCTGAGCCTGTCCCTTTGGGACACCGACTGCCTTCAACATCGAACGATCGTGAATTCCACAGCCTGAGCTTTAACTGGGGAGAGTTTAGGGCAGCAAGGAGAGGCAGAGAGGAGAGATAAATGCCAGGGAAAGGTGATCTCAGATGTGAAGTTTCGTGGATTGCTTGGCATTGCTTGACACAGTCTTCAGTCTCTTTCTACCCCATGCAATTTTTCTTTATACATTAGCTGCTCCTCCTACATTAGCTGGGGTTCTGTGATGGTCTAGGTATCCTTTCTATATATTTTTTTTTTATTTTTTATGGTATTGGGAATCAAACTCAGGACCTTATGCTTGCCAGGCGGGTGCTTATGCCACTGAGCTATATCCCTGGCCCGACGTTCTAAGCAGCTGGGCTTGGAGACATGAGATTCTAGTTACACTGAGCTTCTAGAAAGGAGGGCTGAGCCTATCACGTGAGAATATCTTTATTCTTCTCTGCTACAAAGCAAAATCGGAGAACCCTGTGCTACTGTTGAGCATTAAATAGTTAAGGGATGTCCCCTGTAGTGGCCCCAACACCCAGTACTGCCTTCTGGGTCACAGCCACTCCTGTTGCTGTTCCACACCATACACCATACCGTTCTCTGCCTGCAGAGCGCTGTTGGCTTCAGTGAGATGGAAGCGCCAACCACAGCTTATAAGAAGACAATGCCCATAGAAGCTGGTGAGTCTTAATGATTCCCTCTCCCAGTGATCGTCAGCTTCCTCTTCCTTGCTTTCTCCTGAGACTATCTTCTACATACCTTCAGCTACTTAGATTAGCTGAGAACGACTTGATCTCCACACTCACATTCCCAGATTTTGTCTCCTAGAAAAGCCAGGTCAGGTGGACAGAGAGATAGAGTAGGGCTGGGAAACAAAGTGCGAGCAAAAACCACAAGGATGAAGGGATGGAAAACTACTTGGGAAAGATCAATGGGGTAGGCACTTGGGGAGGGGCAGAGGGCGGTGGTGGCTGGAAAGCGTACAGATGTGAGGAAGGTGGACAGGAAAGGATGCTGGTTAGGGCACCAAGGCTTGTAATTCAGGAAGGACAAGAGTCTGAGGTCACATGGGCTGGTCAAATGGAAGTCGGAGCTTCAGGGCCAAACCATCCTCCTACGCTCCTCCATCACTACCTCTTTTCCTTCCCCTCCAGGAGTCCTCTCCCCATTTTCTCTCCTCCTAGATATTAACTGATTCTTCTTCCTTCCAACACCCCTCCGCCCTTCACTCCTACTCCAAGACAACCGTAATTCTTCTGGCCTCTGTCTGCAGCTTCCAGTGGTGCCCGTGGGCTGAAGGCAAAATTTGAGTCCATGGCTGAGGAGAAGAGGAAGTTGGAGGAGGAGGAGAAGGCACAGCAGATGGCCAGACAGCAACAGGAGCGAAAGGCCGTGGTGAAGACGAGCCGAGAGGCTCAGCAGCCAGCAGCACCCGTGGAAGAGCCAGTGGTGCCGGCCCCATTGCCCAAGAAAATCTCCTCAGAGGTAAGCACCTGGCCTCCAGCACCAGCACCAGCACCCGGGATCCCTTGCTCAGATCTAAGGGGTTCAAAGGATTGGCAGAAAATAAGGCAAAGGCCTGTCCTCTGGTAAGCAGTCTGCTGTCTTCGTCTTCAGGAAGATTCAGTCTGACTGTAATTGGCCTCATATACCAGACCATCAGAAAAAATAACCAACAGGACTTATATAGTGCAACGGAGGGCAGGTCCCTGGCCTCTGCAGGCTGCAGGAACTGAGGAACGAGCTATCGCTATAGGTTGGAGCCGATCTTGAGGGATGAGTTCATTTGGATGGGCAGAGGACGAGAGGGGTTTCCTGGACAGTGGGTGCTTGCTGGAGAGATGCTTATTCTCCACAGGCCTGGCCTCCAGCACAGAGTCGCCCGCCACCACAGCCTGAGCCCGTGAGAACCAGCAGGGAGCGCCCAATGCCCTCCCTGCCCATGAGGCAGGATCCCCTGGAGGTAAGCAAAGCCCAGAACTTCTCCGCCCGCTACTGCACTCCTCATGTCTTAGGAAGGTGTAGGGTAACCATCCATCCTGGTGTTCCTGGAGCTGTTGTGGTCTTAGCCCTGAAAGTCTTGCATTCTAGAAAACTCTGCCCCATCCTAGACAAACTAGGGCAGCTGATTCTTTCAGCCTCGTGCCAAGGTGCTTTAGCTTTCATGTTTTCCTGGTTTTCCAAGGACTCTGACTTACTTTTCACCCCCCCCACACACACCTTTAAATCCTCCCATCAGCTCCAGGCAGGTGTTTTGAGGCTGGTGTGGGAGAGGTGGGTGGGAATGCAGGTGGGGTGACTGCAGGACTGTGTTTCTGAGAAGCTGTCAGGGGGAGGGCATAATCAGTAGTACTGTAAAGGCGGCGGGGTCCTAGCAGCCCCCACAAAGCTTCCATGAATCCTCCTGCTGAGTGGAAGTCACCTGCTCTACTCTGTCTCTTCAGGACAACGAGGAGCCCCCAGCTCTGCCCCCTAGGACTCCAGAAGGCTTCCAAGTGGTGGAAGAGCCAGTGTATGAAGCAGAGCCTGAGCCTGAGCCTGAGCCTGAGCCTGAGCCTGAGCCTGAGCCTGAGCCTGAAAATGACTATGAGGATGTTGAGGATATAGGCAAGCATGATGAGGAGGCAGAGGGGGACTACGAAGATGTACTGGAGCCGGAGGATTCTTCTTTTCCCTCCACCCAGGCTGGTGAGTGGTGCTGGTGGTAATGGGAGAGAAGTGTCTCCTGGATCTGGTCCATCTAGGAGAGCAGAGAAGAGGAGCAATTTCCACGTTTCCCAGCAGGATCTGTGTGTTTGCCTTCTCCACATTGGTGAAACCGTGTTTGTATTTCCCACCCTGCAGGGTCGTCAGGCAGCCGGGGTGGGGCTGTGGGGATCTCAGCTGTAGCCCTGTATGATTACCAAGGAGGTAAGCTTGGAGGGGCCAAGGAGCCCGGTGCCCGGAGGCTCTGATATAAGGGAGAGGGGTGGATCCTGTGAGTCGGGGAAGGGCCTGGCTCAGCATGAAGGGGAAGGCCAGGCCCACTTCCTTGCCTTAGAGTGAGGCTTAGAGTGGGCATGGGGAGACATGGAGCGATTCCCAGCTAACCATCCTGATATTCTTTCCACTTCCTCCCCAGAGGGAAGCGATGAGCTTTCCTTTGATCCAGATGACATCATCACTGACATCGAGATGGTGGACGAGGGCTGGTGGCGGGGACGATGTCGTGGTCACTTTGGACTCTTCCCTGCAAATTATGTCAAGCTTCTCCAGTAACTGGCCCTCACTGTCTACTACAACTGTGGCTTCCCATGTCCAAAGTGGCTGTGCCTCCACCCCAACCGCATTCCCGCTGTGAGTCTGACAGGTGCCGTGGATTACCTGCTGTTCTGGACAGACTTCCCCCTCCTGCTTCAGTAAGGGCTTCTGCTGGAGAAGGCATGAAGAAAGGAGGTCTCCTTCCCCTCAGGGTCCTACCATGCATGAGCTAGAGGACGTTTACCTTATGGTCCTGGCTCCTTCCCCAGGAATGTCCGCACTAACATCCCAACTCTGGTTTCCTCCCTTGTGAGCACGGGGCTCCCCTGTCTGCTCACCAAGAAGGTGAGTCTAGACTGTCTGGCTTGCCTTCCCTCTGCTTGGGCTTTAGCCCGCTTCTCTTCCCTACAGGTGTATCTCTGAACCTTTCTTCTGTTCAGCCCTAATGTTGGAAATAAAGTATTAAATAAAGGTGGACTATTGCTCACCACTATGCAGACATAAGCAGTGCTTTTTGTGCAGCCTTCGAAGACCCTGCCCCTTGTGGCTTCAATTCCCCATTGCTCTTCCAGGCACGTCCAGAAGACACCTTTGAACCACTGCCCATCCCCTTGCCTGCCCCCTGGCACCCTGAAAGTCAGGGGAGAGGCCTTTCCTTTGGCTGAACTTTCAAACCAGTCCAAAACAGATCAGCCTGTGGCATGGCACTCAGGTGTGACAACAGGGGGCCAGGTGGTGTCCACATCAAAGCCATTCAACTTCTACGGGCTGTAGCAGCTGTGTGAGGCGGGTCACCTGCCTAGGGTTAGTGGCTGCGCTCTTTCAGCATGCAGTAACTCTTAAGGAAGAAACATGACCTATAGGATAGGAAGGACGAATAGGTAGGTTTGACCAACAGAAAATACTAAAGCTAAAGGAGGACAAACGCAAGTGAGGTTGGAGACGATTTAGAGCCAGAGACAGTGGCCTTTGCCCAAGAAAGTCCAGGCTCCCTTGTAGCTAGGTGATGGAAATCAATGTCCAAGAGAGTGGATGGAGGAAGTATCAGAAGCTTCTGTGTGGGCCAAAGCCAAAGCAAATAGGAAGAGAGGTGAGGATAGCTGCATGGCCAGGGAGGGGAAAAGGCGAATCACCAAGCAAAGTATGCGAGTGAGGGAAAGTGAGAGGCCAGGGCCAGGTGGGTTCGTCAGGCCTCAGCCTTTGTGCTCAGCTTCAGCACAGCCAGAGAGAGGAGACCCTAGAGAACAATCAAAAGAGAAGCCAGGGATTTGGTGTAGGGCACCTTTGGTTGGCAGGACATAGACATTTGTGCTGTTACCAGTATTGAAAGTTGGCTCCAGCTCTTAAAGACAGAGAAGGCACTGGGGTCAAGGAAGGGCAGGATTAGGCGCTGAGACCCGTAGCTGCTCAGGGCTGCACAGAGCTGGTGAGATGCTTGTGTATCTAGAGTGCTCCAGGCTCCAGGTTTGTCCCTTGCTGTTTCTTGTACACATGCACACACACACACACACACACACACACACACACACACACACACACACACACCTTGGTTTCAACAATGACTTCTATGGCAGGGAATCACAAGTCTGTCTCTAGACCTACCTCACAAGATTTACCCACTTGGCCTTTCAGAGTGCAAAGCAGCTTTATTTCCTCTTCTAGAAACACTGGGGCCTCCAGGACACAGAGACGAGTTGTTACAGATGTCTGCAATCTCATTCTTCATTTTGGTAATTTGACAACACACATAAATTAGACGTTTACAGTGGTTTTCCTGGTACATTTCCAATTCCCACTTTGCTTTTCACTCTCTCTTTGTCAGACAGAAACGTCTTTTCCAGATCCCCCTGAAGCTAAGGCCCCAGGTCCTCTCTGGCTCAGTTCTACAGAACTCACCCTTGCACCTGGCTGGCCTCAGCTCTGGCTGCCCCTCTCGGTGGTGACTGTCCTCACGGGTCCTGCTCGTACACGTCTCCTATCCAGCTTCTACTCTTGCAGCACTGCCCTCTCCTTCCCATCTGTGCTTTTTCTTTTGTTTTATTTAAATTACACTAGGGATCAAACCCAGAGTCTTGCACACGCTAGGCAGGCCACTGAGCTATATCCCTAGTCCTTTTATACATTTTCATTTTAAGACAGGGTCTCGCTAAGTTGCCCAGGTTGGCCTGAAATTTACAATCCTCCCGCCTCAGCCTCCAGAGGGCCAGGATTACAAGTGTACACCACAGTGCCCAGCTCCTTAAGGGCTTCTTAATCTGAAGTCACATCTAGCTATCTAACCTCTGTCAAATGACACTTGCTGCTCATGCTGCTCTCTATAAACTTCACCTCATGAAGCAAACCATTTTCTAGCCCAGCGTCTCTGAAAGGGTCTCCTTTTGCTCCGTCTGCCCTTGCCTTATAAAGTTCACTTCTTTGCAGGGACCAAGGATATCTGCAGTACTCTAGTTTCCAGCAATGCGGACCATTAGAAAACTTATAAAATGTGTTTGGTGCTGTTGATCCATGTGGTACTGCTCTGAAGGCAGCAGTTAGGAGAGAAAAGCATGGCTGGAAACACGCATGCATAGAGCAGGTGGGGGTGGCGTCCTGTCCTGACTGCTGTCCTGGCCCTGGGCTGTCCCACCCACCCAGGCTGTGCAGGAAAGCCCTCCACCCTACTCCTGTCTCTCTACAGCATCCTGCTTCTCATCCACCCAAATGTAGGCCTTGATGTTCATCTCCACCTGTCTGTAGTTCCTCTTATCCTCCGTCTCTTTTATATATATATATATCCTTTAGATTCTTATTTCTCTGTGTAGGAAAGGCCAGATTAAACACACGTGGAACTGGTGGGTGAAGAACTCTCTTCCTTCTTCCCACTTCAGTGTCTAGTAGTTTCCAGTTACTCATCTTTACTGAATAAAAAAACCTCAGATCACACCCTAGTTACAGTTTTCAAAACTGACTTGTATGCAAATGCAAAATATAAATCAAACAATAAATATTAAGAAAGATAGAATGCACCAAGTGGCCCAATGTAATGAAAAAAATGAGGATACTTCTGGTCTGGGACTTGCTGGATCCTGCCTCGGGCTCTGCCTCGGGACCCTCCTCGGAGGCGCAGTCTACTTCATTTGTGCTACAGGCAGAGCGAGACCCAGGCCACAGTAGTACCCAGAGACTCTTCAGTGAGACTCTTGCTCTCATTGGCTAAATTCTTTTTCTCTGTTTCCTTATGATGCCTGTCTTCCCTTTTCTCTCTTTCTCACTTGCTTTAGGACTGCTGGGAGAACGGCACCAATTACGGTAAGAGGGTACAATCACAAGACAAATAATTCAAACTTCCTGGCTTCAGTTATACCTGGGAAAAGGATATATTCTTGCATGTGGCTAAAGGACATGAAGTCTTACAAGCAAATCAGCCCCATCTGGTTCCCAACTTAATATTAGCACACCTAGATAAATAAAAGCTACGTTAAATCATAGCCAATCTCATTAGCTATGTTAGACTAGATCTTCCTGTACTAAAAAAATAAGTGTGTCCTAACTTATTGTCACTAATACAACATCCTTAGGACAGTGATTCTCAACCAGGAGACACTTTGTTCCTGAAGGATGTGGTGCAATGTCTGGAGACATTTTTGGTTTTCGCTGTGGGAGTGCTACTGCTATCTAATGGATAAAGGCCAAGCATGCTGCTAAATATCCTATAGTACATGGGACAGTCCACTATGATGGAGATTTATCCAGTTTAAAATGTCACTAGTTCCAAGGCTGAGAAACCCTGCTGTAGGAGATGTTGGTTTTTATTGTAATTTTTAAAATTTCTGTTCACGTAAATATTCAGTTTGTTACCAGAAATAGCAGTACCACCCATTTTTGACAGGCTGCAGGCATGACCAGTAATTGGTAGGAGCAACTTCAGGAAACCATTATATTCACATGTGTTCCTCTTCAAAAACCCATACATAGCACCTCAGGGGTGTCTGGGGCCTGGTGGCTGATGCCACAGAACTTTGGCGGACTTTGTCTGGACTTTGCCAAATGTGTGATGTCCTTGGGTTACCTTGTGCAATCTGGTGTGACACTGAGGTTGGGGTTATAAACTGTCATTTCTGATGACATGGAGTGACACTGGCTATGCCTATACTATTCCTATCCCAGACCTAGAACGAATATTCTTTTTAAGAAAGAGCATCCTTGACTCTTAAATCACTATTAATATGATAAGAAATAGATGTGGTTCTGATCCCAACTTCCTCCATAAATATAGTGTCTCCTCTGGACTCTCCTTAATCTCTCATTGCTTCCCTTCTGTCTGTTGCCAAGATTCTACAGAATAGATTCTGTGACCTCATTACTGCCTTCATCCTTTGGTCTGTGATGTCCTCACGGCAGCTTTATTTGGTTAGGCTGAACTGAGACCATCTGGGCTTCAAGGCAATGAGAGGACTGAAGAAGCTCTGGACTTGCCTGGAAGACAGACCCAACCTTCGGGCTGGAAGATAACTCTGCATCTCAGTTGCTGTCCTTCATTGTCTGCCCAGGAATTTGTGAGGGCTTTGTAAATTTAAAAAAAAAAAACCCTCTGTAAAACCCCGGGCTTGTGCTGGTTATGAAATCTCACTGTTTTCTCATCTCAAGATTTGGGTTCATTTTTCAAATGGCCTCAAGTTATTTATTGTCTCCTCAGATCGATCTATTTAAGAAAAGAAAACAGATATTGATGGGGCACTGTGGTATACGCCATAGCTTAGGAAATTCTTACGCCAGGTGCAGCTGCTGAGGTTGGAAGGACACTGCGTGTTCGAACACACCCCGGGACCCAGACACAGTTACAGAGGCAAGCCCTCAAACCCCACGCCATCTTGCTTCCAATAGCTCCACGGGGAGTCCAGGAGTGACAGCATCTGCATCTTTAGGTGTGTCTTCCTCGTGGTCTGGCTCTAAAGGTGGAGACTAGGCTCTCCCGGGTCTGCTCGCGGGGTTGGCACATGCTGGTCAAACGAACCGGGTCTGTCTTGTGCTCTACAATGTTGAAAGGACAGGACTTCAAGTGCTCAGACATGGAAGTAACTTCATTAAACTCCCAGCTCTTGATTTTGGAGAACAGGCTGCTGAACTGCCAGATCTGTTGGGAAAGACAAAGCTCAAAGGTGAGCACCAGGCCATGCCCTCAGGTGCCCACGTAGAAACACTCTTAGGAGTGCTTCTCTTCTGGTGCTCAGCCAGCCTTGCAGTTGTGTGCTAATGACTGCCACCAATCCATGCACTGACGCGCATCCTTCCCCTGCTTCTCCACTAGCAGCAGTGACGCAGTCTAGAGTAGACACACAGTTTGAATCAGGACAACTGGTACCAGTGAGACTTGACTCTGGGACTTTTGATTGAGATGCCAAAAATCAGATTATCTCTTTCCTTCTGTATTTGAACTGGGAAGCTATAGTTCAAAAAGGGGGCAGCAGTCATCAGGGACCACCATGGAAGGACAGTTAGAGAATTAGCCAATATTGATGAAGAACAGTTTAAAAATAGGAAGCTAAAGGTCATGTGGGGGGAGCAGTTTTGAACTTCTGAGTCAAGCCTGAAGCTAATAGCTTTAGATCTTAGTTATAGAGGCTAAAAGAAATTCCCTTTATCTATGTACTTCAGGCTGGTTTTCTATAGTTTGAGAATGAAAGTATCCTAACTAATAAGGGTCTTACTAGAATATTAAGTCCCCCAAAAACTATTCCATGAGTCTAGTGCCCATAATGTACTCTCTGGTCTCTCTCCACCTGGGATTGGTGGCAAAGTCACCAGTTTTAAAAGCTGGTTTTAAGAGTAGGCATAACCTAATGCCTTTTAAACCTGACTACTTCATCTTTAGTTCTTTGCTTTGTTTTCCTTGCATAAGAAAGTATTGTCTGGGAACTTAGGACCACTTCTTTTATCCAAGGTGCTTGTAACATCCTTTCTCAGAGTAAATATGTTGGCAATATGAACCTTTGTCTTGGTTACTTTTCTCTTGTTGCTGAGACAAAATACCCAGTGCCCAAAATTAAGGAAGGAAAGGTTTATTTAGCTCACAGTTTGTGGAAGTTTCAGTCCATACTTGGCTGGCTCCAAGGCCGAGTGGCACATGGCAAAAGCCAACAGTTTATGACCACGGAAAGACAGAAATGCAACCAGAGCAAAAGGGGAGTGGCAGCAAACAGCCTCCTTCTCTCTCTTACATATGCAGACTATCCACCCCAGGGCATATGAAGCACTCATACCCATAATCTGAGCCTTGGATCATGGATCAGTCATAAACTCTAAAAGCCCTCCCCACGACTGCATGAAGCTTTGGGGGAACATCCAGACACAAACATGTATGTATGATATCTACTGAGGTCAATAATTCTATAACCTCAATAATTATATAATTTTCCTAATATGTGGGTGTCTGCAAATTGGCCCCTGGGAGAGTTGTTTATATCTATTTTTATCGATTATGTCTCAAGCACCTGTCTTACATATTTCTGTAACAGTGTAAAGTGTTTACAGGCACCTTAGATATGATGAATTAAAAATCTCACTTGTGTACAAGTCTTAATACAGTTTAACAAATAGTATCCAACTGAGAAAAAGGAACAACTTTCCCTTACTGAAGAGAAAGTCTTTGATTTAAACGAAGTTTTCTGAAAAATTAGATAAGCATTTGAACCAGGGGAAATCAGTGGACTGAATTCATTTAGAATTTCAAAATGACTTTAAAAACTGTCTTAAAAAATTAGTTGAGGGTTGGGGCTGTAGCTCAGTGGTAAGGCACTTGCCTAATACGTGTAAGGCCCTGGGTGAATCCCCCAGTACTACAAAAATGAAAACAAAAACCAAAAAATTAGTTGACATAGGATTGAGAAGAATTTGTTGCCTTTTTGTATCCATCAGCATCCAAGCAGGAAATAGAGGGCACACTCCAACAGGGTAACTTTAAAGAATGGTTAAAAGAAATGGTCTGTAAAATATGTGGGCATAGTAAAGGAAAGCTGCGTGGTCCTTGGAACCCAGAATGAATAACTGTGTGCAGAGACTCCTGACACAGCCAACTTCAGTGGAGGGACATAACCACTTCAAGGTGTCATGCAGAAAAGAAGCCAGGAGAACAGATCCCTCAATGCCATGCTTCCCTGCCCCTTGCCTGCCATTGAATGAACCCAACAGGAAGCTGAAGTGCAAGGAGTCCAGTTGAGCCTGTGTGCAGAGAGGTTGGCCTCCAGCAGACAGTCTAAGTGGTGGAGAAAGATGTGAGCAAATACAAAACATTGAGGACTTACAGACAGAGATACAGACACTAGCATATATATATATATAAAGCTCTCAATAAGTATCTGTTAAACAAATGAGTAAGGGTTAACTTGCCTCTCTGTGGACTTTCCAGGAAGAGCCTCCATGGGAATATCTCTTCTTCTTCCATTGCAAGAGGACCATTCCTCTGTCTTGTAACAAAGTGGCACAGATATTCCTCATCAGCGTGGAGACCTGGGAGAGCTGGCACAGGCTGATGCTGTCCAAGAACCCGGCAATGTACTGCAGAACCTCCAGGGGCAGGTTGCTTAGACAGTTCTGGCTTTTCCCTCCACGCCCTGGGAGCTGGTTGTTCTTCTTTCCCTCGCTCAGCTCTGGAGCGACCTCTGGCTTGATGGCAAAGGTTTTGAGCTCTTGACTGTAGATCACTTTTGCCTTTTGCCCTGGAGGTCGGAAATGGTTTTGAACGAATGTACACCCCAGGTAGGCGAGGGGGCATCGATGCTGGAACCAGCCGTTGAGGCCTGACTGAATGTCTGTGTGGACGTTCTTGAAGTGCAGGGGGAATTCATCCCTTCTGAAGAATTTGTTGCAGGTGAAGGTAAAGGCAGAGCTGCTCTTGTTGTGTCTCCTGGTTACACACTCGCTGTGGAGCTCCACGTGGAGTCCCCCCGGGTCAGTTGTGCTGAGGAGGTCAGCCAGCACTGTCCCGGAAGAAAACTGTTCTGGCTCGAAGTTGTACGTCTGTGTGGCAAAATCCATGAACAACCCGTCAATGCTCCTGGATTCAGAGATGACGTGGCCTTTGAGTTCTCTTTCCAAAGCGCACTGCAGGGTGGTTTTAATGAGGTCTGCTTTGGGCAGGTCCTCTAGGGTGATGCCCAGATCCGAAGTATCCACAGCCTTGTGTTCACTTGGCCTGCAACTCAGCATGGCATCACCAAGCCGAGCCCGCTTTCCACAGTAGCTGACAGGAACTTTGAAGGTGTAAACAGTCTTAACTTCTTGAGCCTCAAGGTTGCCATAAACAAAGTCTCTCTCCTTGGGTGTACAGGCAGGCATCTGACCAAAGTGAATGAGCATCCGCCCATTGTGCACCAGGTACATGTTATAGTCCTTCGCGTCCACAGCAGTTTTCAGTCTTTCCAGAACTCCATCCTGCCAGGGGGCAAGCCCTGTCTTCTCTATGACTGCAGACAAGTTCTGTTGCTTCTGGTCTTCCCGGGGTTCTTTCCCTTTGGCAGCACCCTCTGTGTCTGCCGTGTTATTGCCACTGGAAACCTGCTCTTTCCCTGTGCCTTTTGTGCTCTTGTCTTCATGGCTTGCTGATGTACTTGCTAAAGCAGAGGCCGCATGCTCTTTGCTGAACATGTTTTCCCACTGGCCGAACTTGGCCAGGTCCATCCCTTCTTTGGTTTTGGCTAACGTCTCTCGTTCTTCTTGGCTCAACTCCATCATTTCCCCATTAGTGGCTGCATGTGGTACCAAAGTGGTACCCACTCCCCCCACGGCTCCTGCCATCTCCTCCCAACTGGCTTCACCATTTATTGCAGGTTCCTCCTCAGTGGCATCTCTAGTTTCGGGGAAGAGTTCTACCATTTTCAAGGATTTGAAGAGGACCTTCTGGTCCTGCAGGGCAAGGGCTGTGTCCAAACACTCCTCACTTGGAGTCTCTTTCATGATGTTCTCATGAAGAGCTGTCTCTGAGTCCACATTTGGCCACCGGTTCCACTCCATGGAGCAGCAGACCACGCTGGCCGGGCACACCTGCAGGTGCTTGGCCAGCTTGTGGCGGGACATGGAAAGGGGACAGCCATATTCGGAGTTGAGGCATGGAACCTGCTCTAAGGGACACAGGAGCTCGTGCTCTGCCTCTTTGCACATGTGGAAGGTCGCACCACACAACAGGTGGCAGCTTATCACCAGACAGGAGACACCAGGCTCCACAGGAACGTGGCAGTGGCGGTTGATGCATCCCTCACAATGTCTGTGCTGCCCAGGGGGCCTCCTGTGTACCCTGCCCTGTACACACCAAGGGCAGAGGAAAGGAGAAAGCAAATGAATGCTGGAAGAGAAGCTCAGAGCGTGTCTGTGGCTGTGCTTTAATTAGCTTATTTCCTGTCTCTATGTGATTGTCATAGGAATCGTGTAACATTGAGGATCATAGAGAAAAAATCTATTATAATCCCACAATCCAGAAATAACAACTATCAACACTCTTAAAACCTTTTAATAGTTTATTCTACATATATGCTTTATTTTTTCCTCTATTCTAAACATATCTGTAGAATAGTTTATTTTTTCTCTATTCTAAACATTCCTGTAGTATAGTTTATTCTATAGATATGTTTAGAATAAAGAAAAAAGCTGAATGTAACAGAACACAATCTTGATAGTTATTATTTTTGAGTTGTGGATTATGGGTGATTTATATCTCATTGTTAATACTATAAACACAACTTTGTGTCTTCCCTTTTAACTTGCTATTATGAGATTAGATTTTTAAAAAATTATTCTTTGTATACTTTCTTCATAATGGCAGTGCAACATGCCAGAACACAAGTGTGTTGTTATTCACTCAACCAATCACCTTCCGAGGTCACACTGGAGGGCTGGCTTAGCTCACATTTGCATTCATAGCACCTGGCACGGGACCTGGATCATTGTAGCTACTCAGTAATATTTGCTGAATGAAGGAATTGTGAGTCATTTACATTATTACTGGCTTTTTTGCTATTGCATTTTTAATTGCCATACCACTTACACTAGTTATACTATTTTTAATTGTCATCCTATTTATATTTATGGGGTACAGTATAATTCAATGCACACATACAATGTGTTATGATCAAATTAGGGTAATTAGCATTTCATCCTCTCAAGCATTCATTATTTTTATGTGTTGGGAACCTTCTTTTTAAATATTCACTCAAAGTAATCCTTGCTCACAGATTGTTTTTGACTTTCTGCTTTCCCTTTATACTGTATCAATTTCTTGCTAATAAATCAGGCCACCAGGACGCGTCTGTTAGCCATTCCAGCTACAGGTTAAATAATTCAACATCAGGACCTCTGAAAGTGAAGCTTCAGTAAGAATGTGGTACTTACCATAGCTTCCCAATTTTTCTTGCTTCTGAACCCTGGGAGGAAATATGAAAATATAGATATGAATGATTAGTAAGAAACGTAGTGTGCTTATATATTTTAGCAGGGGACAAAGCGACTTTACTTCTCTCGTTAATTCCTCAACCACCTTGGAGGTATTGCCCCTCCAATTTACCGTCAAGGAAATGGAGATTCTTTTCCCCAAGGGTACACAGCTGCTATGTGATGGAATCAGGCTTTTCCAACCGAGTCCATGCAGGCCCATCCTCTTTTCACAAACCCACACTGCTATTGGCAGTGTAAAAACTCTCAATTTTACACTCTCTGTTGGGGCCAACCATGTTTATTGCTTCTTGTGACTTTTCTCCATTGTCTGCTAACAATTATCTTGGTTTCCTACTGACCTCTCTTACTGCCACATGGTCTGGCCCAAGTTATCCTCTAATTTTCTCTCTCACTAAGACTTCATGTCTACTGAGAAGTCAGTCTCATATTCAACTTGGTCTGGAGCAGTAAGTCACGTGCCAGTGACACATCTATCATACGATACAACTTTCATCTTAATGTCTTCAGCTTTTCTGTGGCTGGAGAAGGGGTCAAAACCCCAAAGGTCCCAGAAGCCAAGTGGGGACCATGGCACGTGGAAGAAAGGATGCCTTGCCTTCAAGGGAATGCTGTAGCTTCTGAGCACCTGGTTGACTGAGGACAATGGAATGGATTCTGGGAACCAATTCCTAAGGTGGCCTTTCTCAAGCAAGGGTCCCAGGGACTGTCTTCTCAAATGAAAGGTTAATATTTTTACGCCAGCAATGGGTCAAATCTTGGTGATTCTTGAGATGCCCTCAAGGCATCTTTCTTCTTATCTCTGTGCAAAGTATTTGCTTGCTTTTTTCACTTTCTTTCCTTTTTTTTTTTTTTAGCACAGGATGGTTGTATTTATCATGGGGAGTTGGTAAAGTACATAAAACATCTTAATTCTGTTTTCTTCCCCTATCCTTCCCATCCCTCCCTGCTTCCTCTAATTCTTGGTCTGCTTCCCATTTGCAAAAGATCTATTTCTATTTTTTCCCTTCAATTCTTTTTTTTTTACACTCTCTTGTCCTTCCCTTTCTTCTACCTCCCTCCATATCCCCCTTGCCATTTGAAAATGGTCTCCCTACTTCTTATTGTCTGTTATGGTTTGTGTCTGTGTGCCCCCCCAAAACCTCATGCAGTTATGGGGGATGGACTTTTTGGAGGCAGCTGAATCTAGTGTTTGTGACTAGTCCATTGTCCAGTGCTAGGACTGGGGGTGTGAGTGCTACACTGTCCTAGGGTGAGTAGCCTGCATACAATATAAGGGAGGAAAAGAGGTTTGTCTCTCCCCTTTTTTTGCTCCTGTTGCTTTTGCTGTCTTCTGCTGCCTTGAATTGTTGCCCCTGTGCCATGCCATCCTGCCTTGGAGGCAGCTGGTTACAGACTGAAACTTCCACAAACTGTGAGCTAAATAAACCTTTCCCCTCTTTAACTCTGGGTGTCAGGTATTTTGTCTCAGCAACAAGAAAAGTAACTAAGAAATTATCTTCTCTTGTTTTGCTCTTTATTTGTATTTTAGTTTCTCTCTTCAGCAACCACATCTCTTTTGGTCCCAACTTTACCCATGATTTTTTGGGACAGGTTTTAAGTTTTCTAAGTTTTTCTGTTCTTATTTTTGTTCCCAGTTCCCACTATAAATTTGGCTAAAGCAGCCAGAAGTACTCCTGCCACAACCTGAATACCGGGCTACCTTGAAATCTCATTTGCCAGATTGATTAGTCTACCACCCTCAATCTCAGTCTTCCACAAAGTCTCAAGACATAAGCAAGAGCCAGAGATATAGTTCAGTAGCATAGCACCTGCCTGGAAAATGCAAGGTCCTGGGTTCGATTCCTGATACCAAAACAAGACATGAGCAAAATGTAGCTAAATTTTCTGCCACAGTTTGTGAAACACACGTGACCTCTAATCCAATTGCCAGTGGAAGACTTATTACCAGCTGAAATCTCTGGGTCTGGTCTTTATTGCCCACAGGCCTATCAGCATTCTGGTTTTATTGTGAACTTATTATGGAAATTCTTAAATATTTGGCTAAAGATTCTGGAATTATTTGGTCCACAATACCAAGTCTTTTTACATTGTAGTTTGGGTGCTGACTAGCATAGCTGAGAGATAGAGTAGGACCTAGAGTGATAAAAGCTTGTATGGGTGAGAGTGATAGATAGGCCATTAAGAGAGATTACAAAGGGAGAATCACATTTTTATTTCTGGGTGGAGATGGAGAAAGAAGAAATAAGTTGATGCTCAGATTTTGAACCAGAAAGAGTGAATTTTTTCTATAATTTTGAGAAAAATAGAAGTCTTAGAAAGAACTATTTGTGGAAGCAAGACAGGTCCAGTGATTTAATACATATGACAGATCAGATGGAGATGCAGGTCAGAAAACCATCCACTTAAAAGTGAAGGAGGGAGCCCTGACTGGGGAGTGAGAACACAGAATAGACACCTGCACAGTGAAATGCATAGCTATGCATGACCACTTTGGGGAGGTTACAAGAGAGACAGAGGGCCAAGCAGTTCAGGACTTGGTTGTCACAAGGTGAAGGAAATGAAGAGCAAAGCCTTCAGATTCAGATGCCACTGCCAAGAACAATGACAACTGTGCCACTACTTAGGGGAGGTCCCAAAGAGCTCTGCTCAGAATAAATGTGGTGTTTCAGCTGTGGGGCCCTTGACCAGTAGAAATGGGTGTTTGTCAGGCATGGTGGCACATGCCTGTAATCCCAGCACTTGGGAGGATGAGGCAGGAGGATCATTGCAAGTTTGCAACCAGCTGGGGCTACAAAGTGAGCTCAAGACTGGCCTGAACTGCATAGTGAGACCCTGTCTCAAAAAAAGAAGAAGAAGAAGAAGAAGAAGAAGAAGAAGAAGAAGAAGAAGAAGAA